TTACTATTTTTTAGGGGAGTTACAGGATGGGAGTGGGGGGTACTGGTTCTTTTTTTTTTTCACTCTTTGATTTAAAAAAAAATGCCTATGGGAATAACAGAGGCAGAAAAATATGAAAAAAAAACCTAAAAGCAGTTATACATAATCCTGCTGCTTAGAGATTTTTGTATTTCTTCCATGTCTTTTTGCTGCAAGTATAGTCCTTTTAATGAGGTCACCACACCCTGCATATGTAGAGAGCAGTCACATGCCACTTACCCTGTTGTGAGCATTCCTGTACACACCACAAAAATTCCATGTAAACAGGATTTTTAAATAGGAAACAGAATTTATCAAAATAATAATGTGCCCATGGTGTCAAAACCAAAGCGTATATAAAAGTATATTAAAGAAAAATGGCCCTTCCCTGATTCTGTACCCCAACTTCCTTGCTTGAGAGCAGGGCCCAGCAGTCTTGCTGCCCCCCTTTTTTGTATGGCCCTTGAGCTAGGAATGCTCTGTACATTTTTAACTGGTTAAGAAAAATCTGAAGAAGAATAGTATTTTGTGACATGTGGAAACTGAATAACATTAAAGCAGCAGGGTCCACAGTTAGCTTTGTGGGCATACAGCCAGCCCATCTGTTTATATCTGGTGGATGGTTGCCATCCCAAGGGGACACAGCTAAGTAGTTGCCACAGCGACCGGAGGGCCCATAAAGTATCAGCTTTTTACCTGTTGGTGCTTTAAGGAAAAGTTTGCCCACTAGTGTAAATAGTCTAATAAATGAATGTCCTTCCAAATTTTCAGATAAGTAGACAAAATGTACACATGTACGAATTCTGGGTTTTTTTTGGCGGGGGTGGGGGGGTTACTTAAAAAAAAGCCATTGTTTCTGGGACATTCCTTTATTCATCCACACATTGCATGCTTCCCTCCCTCATCCTTCAGATTTTTGTTCAGAAGTAGCCTTCCCATCACCCTTGTTAAAATTGCAACTTCTCCTTTGCTGCTGTGTGCTCACGTCCAGCACACACTATGTCTTATGTGGGCCGCTGGAATCTGGAGCAGGGATGTCTCCTTCCCTACTGTCCCCCCAGCCTCCCAGCTCCTGGCACCCACAGATGGGGACGTTTCTGCATGCGCACCTTCATCCCAGACGTGCCTTGCCTTCTGACTTGAGTTGTAGGTGTTGGGGTGGGGGTCCCCTCTCGCACAGGTGTGCTGACATGGCCCCATCTCCACTTCACTCATAGACGCGGCTGCTGGTCACGCACGGGATCCGCTACCTGCCGCAGGTGGATGTCATCATCGTCATGAGTGGCGGCAAGATCTCGGAGATGGGATCCTACCAGGAGCTGCTGGCCAGGGACGGGGCCTTTGCGGAGTTCCTGCGCACCTATGCCAGCAGTGAGCAGGAACAGGAGGAGCAGGACAGCGGTAGGAGGCCCGGTGGGGTCCCCAGGTGTCCCTGAGCATCCCACCAGCTGCCCCGTCGAGGTGGCGCATCAGAGCTGTGCCAAGCCCCCTCGGGACCATTTGGAAGGACCATCTTAACCCTTTCAGGGCTGAATTGGGAGTGGGTCCATGTCAACAGCCCTGCGCTCAAGTCCCAGCACTTCCTTTGACATGGCTTTGGGCCTGCTGAGCTCCAGCATCCTTGTGGCTAAAGTGAGGATGCTGTGTCTCTCAGGCGGCTGGGAGAAGCAGTGGTGTGATCCACAACAGATGTGAGGGTCATGAGGTGAAGCGTGGTGGCTGAGCGTGCAGGCTGGGCCCCAGCTACTCCTCTTACTGGCTGTGTGACCTTAGGCCCTTCTGGGGCTCAGTTTCCTCACTGACGAAGCAGTGTAGTAACCGAACCATTCTCTGGCATCTGCTGTATATTTGATGTGCTAAATTACATAGAGCCTTTGGCATGGTTCCTGGCACGAGGTGGTCAGTAGACCACAGCTGCTGTCATGACCCTGGGAAAGGCCCCCTTCTTGTACGCCCGCACGCTCGGCATCTGCCAGGTCCACATGGACCTGCCCACTTCCCAACCACTGTGCCCAGTCTGTCCCCCCAGCTTAGGACTCTGTAGGCGGGGCAGTTTTGGAGACGCCCTTTGAATTCTATGCTGGGTCCTCACCCTGTCCTTATTCAAAACAAATGTGCTAAGACTTGTGGGCATCCTGTTCTCTCTTAACAGTTGGCTTAAAATTCAAGGGATTGGTTTGCAGCCTTTTTCAGGCCATGCTGTGTTTTCATCTCTCAGACTGGCATCTGGAAGGATCCTCGGCTCACCTCCTTTCTTGCAGTTTTGCCCCATGTTAACAGGGAGAGGGGAGAGATCATCTGATGCCTTTTTTGCTTCAGTTTCAGTTGTTGCTACAAAGAGTGGAGCTACAGAGAGGTCACCTGTGCTACCCTAACGTCCCCCTTCCAGAAGCTCATTACAGGCTCCCTGAGCCCATGGGGCATGTTTGTTACATCCTTAGACCCTAGACAAGCCTCAGATAAACTGTCCTTGAGGTGGAGGCTGCAGGGCTGCCCTGCTGCACAATTCCCACAGGCAGAGTTGTCATGGAAGTCTCTGTGGTGTGAAGGTGCACAGCTAAGCTAGGTTATTGGTACTCACAGGGCTTCTGTTCTGTCAGGATTATCTCCTTGATTCCTCCCCACAACTCATGAGGAGGCAGAATGAGGATTCTCAGTTCACTGGTGAGGATACTGAGGCTTAAAGAAACTTACCTTCTATTCCAGAAATGGGCAGGCTGTGCGAATGGGGCTGATCACTAACAAAGCTATTTACTATTCATTGATTTAGTCATTCAGCAGAAGTTTATTGAGCATCTACTATGTGTTAGGTACTTGTATCAGTTTCCTAGGGCCTGCTGTTACAAAGTGCCACAGCCTAAGTGGCTTAAATAAGAGTAGTGTATTATCTCACATTTTCTGGAGGTGGGAGTTGAGATCAAGGTGTTGGTAGGATTCATACCTCTAAAGCGGTGAGGAAAACTGGGCCACACCTCTCCCCTGCTTGCCGGCGGGCTGCTGGCAGTCTCTGGCTTTCCTGGGCTTCCGAAGCACCATGCCAGGCTCTACCTTCATCTTTCCACAGCATTCTCTTTGTGTGTGTCTGTCTCTAAACGTCCCTTTTTTATTAGGACACCAGCTATATGATCTCTTCTTAACAAATTATCTCTGCAAAGACCCTGTCTCCAAATACAGACGTGTTCTGAGGTACCAGGGTTAGGAATTCAGCATATGGATTCAGCCATAAGAATACTGTTCTAGGTTTGGGGGAGACAGATGTGAACAACATAGAGTCAAATCCCTACTCTTGTGGAGTATAGAATCTAGTGGGAGAGAAAAGCAATAAACAAAGATGGCTTCATGTGGCAGTAAGTGCTATGAAGAAAAATTGTGCAGAGTGATGGGGTGGTACAGTGAAGGTTCAGGCAGGGTGGTTCCAGAAAACCTCTCTGGGGAGGTGACATCGGCATGGAAAGGGGCCAGTAAGGAGGAGATCTGGGAAACAGCATTCTGAGACACGGAACAGCAGCATTCATAGGCTGGTGTCAGGTCGGTGGGTTTAAGGAACAGAAAGGAGGCCAGTGTGGCTAGACTGTGAGGGCAGCAGGGGCAGTGGGAGAAGAGGTAGATGAGGGATCACCCCGCAGGGCCTTCAGGGTGAGGAGTTTGGGTTTTGGTCTAAATCAGTGGGAAGCCACTGAATGTCAGCCAGAGGAAGCAGCTTGTCCGAGGACACACAGTGGCCGCTGGCTGGTTGGGAGCTCAGGTGTGGCCCCTGAGTTTCCAGCCCCTTTCCCCTCCAGGGCTCTCTGGGTCTGTCTGGGGTGGGAGCTGCAGGGGACCACGACCCCAAGCCAGTTTCAGACCGTTTTCATCACCTCTCAGGAAAACCTCGTGCATCAGCACTCGCTCCCCATTGTCTCCCACATGCCGGGCAACCACTAACCTACTTTCTGCCTCTAGATTGGTGTCTCCTGGGCATGTCATATCAAGGAGCCCATGGGATCCTGGAATACATCTTTGCTGACTGGCTTCTTTCACTCAGTGTGATGTTTTCATCTGGACGGTAGCTTGTGTCAGAGCTTCATTTATTTTTATTGCTGTGTAATATCCCATTGTACGGACGTGCCATGATTTATTCGTTCATCAACTAACGAACATTCAAAATGTTTCCACTTTTTGGCTGTTACGCATAGTGCTGCAGGGAACCCTAGGGGTTTAAGGAAAAGAGGTTTTTTTCCACCAGCATGAGATGGCTGACCCTCCCTTCAGCTTTTGAACTCCCTGTCTGAAATGAGCCTCTACATGTTCTGCTCTTGTGGTTGGAAGATGCTGCCTCAAGTCCAGGCGGCATCCCTCTTGCTGCAGGTCTCCTCCCTCCACTTCCCCAGCCAACGTCACGTGACGGGTGGGGGCAACCTCATATTCACTGTATTTCGCTGACCAGCTTGGCTACGGTTAGGTGAAAATGACCCGGTTAGGTGAAAATGACCCGACACATTTAACTGACTCTTTTCCCCAGAATGAGGTCTCTCGCTCCCCTTTCTGTCCAGGTGAATAGGGAATGCCTGTAAGCGCTGTTGGCCACCCATGAGTTTTTCCTTCCCCTTCCTCCCTGGCTGCCAGCACACCCAGAGCGGGTTTTTGCAGAGCATGGAATACTGCTAATTCCATTTTTTATTTTTTTCTCTGTGCACGTCAGCACTTAATTTGGCAATGAAAATACCATCCACCACCCTCGCACCACTATGGTCATTTCCCCAAGTCAGCCACCCAGCCTCCCGCCGGGTGGGACGTGGAAGCCCACAGCCCGGGGGTCTGAAATCATGGATGGGGGCCGCCTTCTCTCTGCGCCTCTCCTGTAGGAGGGGCCCCAGCAGGACGGCTTGGCAGCAGAGACTAGTCTTGCTCAGCTGTAACCAGCTTCGGGTGCCAGTGACCTTGGGTTTATTTGAACCACATTTTTAGCTCCTCTAAAGGGAAACTTTTTTTCTATGTTGGATTAATCAAGTCTTTTTTTGCAACACCCAGGCCAAAGCGGGTGGATGCTTGGTTTGGGGGCGATTCTTTCTCATCAGGATGGGTAACAGGATCCTGTAACCTCTCCGGTAACAGGAATTTGGCCTGGGATGGGGAGTACAGATCCCCCATCCCCCAGGGATTATTTATTATACTGGTTTCTAGGGAGCTTTTTTTTTGTTTTGGTGACTCATTAACCTGTCTACCTGTAAGGTGAAATGCGTTTTTATTTACTCTGGTTTCTTTATTGGGAACCTAGAGCTGTGCTTGTCAACAGGGAACGTTCATGCCTCCTTGGGAACACTGGCAATGTCTGGAGTCTCTGCCGGGGTGGGGGTGGGGTTTCCCCTAATGTCTGGTTGGGAGAGACCAGAGATGCCCCTGAACAGCCTACAATGTCCAGCACACCGTCCCCGCCCCCCCTCCCACCCCACTGCAGGAAATCATCCGGCTAGGAAGCTGGCAGAGCCTAGGGTGCCACTGTCCTGTGACCTCACCCTGCCGGAGGTCTTCCTTTTTGCCTGCGGGGAAGGACCTGTGTTCCAGCAGTGTGGCCAGAACCTGGATTGAGCCGTCTCTCAACCTCACGACTCATTTTTTCCATTTTTCAAATTATTTGCTGATTTCTGTTGTTTATAGGATCAATGCGCTCATTATAGACAATTGCAAACTGCAGAGAAGCACAAAGAACAGCCTCCCACCCTCCCACCACCCAGAGGGGCACTGTGTTGGACTCTGGCCTCTTTCCCACCTGCCTTTCTTTCCTAGGCCTTGTTCCTTGCCAAGAGGAGGGTCCCGTTGGGCACCCTGGTTATCAGTTCTCCTGCCCCCCATCCCCCCCATCTCCCTTCCTGCCCTTTTTCTCTTCATGTCAGGTCATAAGCCTCCCCTCCCCTCATATTACAAAAAACCTGTCATAAACACCGGCCAGCTGCTGGAGAGCCCATCGTACAGACAGTGCATTCCTTCGGACTGTCCTCAGCGGCCGTGTTTCTTCTCCTTTTGAGTATGAAAAGCTTTGAGGGCTGATGTGGGGGGGACAAGGTTGGGCGATGCTGCCGGTCGATACCGTTTTTGGTCAAAAACAAGGCGTTGACTGGATTCTTTCCTCAGGAGAAGCTTGCCGGCTGGCCCTTGCTCAGGCAGAGTTCCAGAATCTTCCCGAGAAAAAGCAGCAAGCCTCTGAGGTGCCAGCTTTGAGGGCCAGTGGCCCGCAGAGCACACACGGCCTGGGCAGTGCTTGTGTGGTTCAAAGGCAAGGATGGTGCCTGGCTTCTCAGCCGCCCAGCCCCATACCTGGTACTTAAGCACGAGAGGAACCTTCACTGGATCACAAGTTTTCTGTCTTTGCTTAAAAAAATATCTTATTATTGTATAGCATCCCCTCTCCCACCATCATTTTCCCCTCACTTCCTTTATTTTCCTCTGTAGCACATACCAGTGCCTGACGGTAGATACTGGATCCACTGCTTTGTTTACTGTCTCTCGTTCTCCTACCCCCAACCCCTCCCTTGTAATTTAACCTCCACGAGAGCTCTCTGGTCACCTCTGTGTCCCCAGGAGTGGGAACGGTGGCTGGCATGCAGTAGGTGCTCAGGAAACGTGCTAAAACAAGCGAATGACTGGGTTATGCCTTGACCATTTAAGGCAGATCCTGTGTAAGCTTTGGACATTACTGCAGCTGCACAGATACCCCAGATTAGAAGAAAATAGAGCTAATTTTACCCATTTCTTTCAGGGCTAGTTTAGAAACCAGCTTGTGGATGCCAGGCTGTTGGATGGCACCGCAGTGGCCAGTGTGGTGCCCCTTCTAGCATTGGAAGGTCATCTCTGCTTATTCACTTGGCTGTTCATTTGCTAAGCTGTCCATCTCCCATAAGGTGTGTGCAGAGCACCTGCTGTGTGCTGCGGGGACACCTGGTACTTGAGCCACTATGGGGGGTGGTGCCTGTTGGATTGTGCAGTGTGTGTCCTAGGCAGCCCCAGCAGACCATCTGATGAGATGGGTGCTGGGAATGGAGCAGGGGATAAAACCTGGTCTGTGTTACCAAGCATTCAGTTTGGTGGGGAATAACCACAAAATAATTAGACATCCTAGTGCTCCATGCAGTGATGGAGGCAAGCCTACAGGGCTGGGAGAGCCCCGAGAAGGGGTGCCCACCCCAGCCTAGGAGGGGCCAAGGGGAACCCCAAACCAAGTCACCCTCTCCTCCCCTTCTCTCGGCTGCATGTGTAGCTGGCTCAAGTAAGATTCTCTGTCCTCGAAGAGCTAAAGGCAGTGGGCTGGAGCTGAGTCCCGTGCCAGCCCCAGCTGTCACACCTGCCCTCCTTCACTATAATGCTTTCTTTCCCTCTGCCGCCATGAAAACAGACGTGAAGATGGAAGGTTGGTCTGTATTCTTCTAGCTCTCAACGTTTGAACATTTATAGCTGTAACTTTCAGAGAAAAGGTCTGGCCCCATTCAGCATGCTTGTTGGGGATCCACCCAGAACATGCGGGATGGGGAAACTGAGGGATAAACATGGCAGGTCCCTCAGCTATCCTTGCCCCTGACCCTTAAGACATCCATCCCCTCTGGGTATTTAAGGGAGGCATAGGGAGGGCGTCCTGCCTTGGTTCTTAACGCTTTTCTAGATGTTGTGAATCCCCAGGTTGCAAGGTGGTAGACGAGGAGGAAGGTCAGTGACACTGGGGTTAGAATCGGTTAGAACGAGGCTGTAGACGGATTTGTCCTGTTGCCGCATGCCGGAAGGGCCCCTGAATGCCGTATTTCCATCCTATTTCATTGTTAATCCATTCATCCAGCAAACATTTACTGGGCTGTACTATGTGTCAGGCTTTGCGGTCAGCACTTGGGGATATAATTCTAATCCCCAGGTCGCTCACCCATCAGCTGGGTGACCTCTGCTAAGCTTTACTTTCTCATAGGTCAAACTGCCATGACCAGCAGCTGCCATGAAGGAGATCCTGCTTATGAAATGACTGGCACACAGTAGACAGCAAATGGCCACAGTTTGATTGTTATAGTCTCACCCATAACTTCCTGGGCATGGTCAAGACTAAGGCGGGCCAAGACTGTGCGGCACAGTGAGCACTGGTGGAGTGGCTGCAGGTGGCTCTGGGTACCCAGAAGAGGGATGTCTTCTAGCAGAATTTCAGTGAGCAAGGCTGCCCCAGCTCCCTCTGATGATGGAAAGGCATGGACTGGAAGCTGGAGGGGATCCATGCCTCCTGCCTTCCATAGCTAGCAGTGTGTGGCTGAGGGTACAGACAAAGGGCTCTTTTGCAAGCCATGGAAGCCCTGCTCCTGTCACGTAGATGACGGGTGTGTACTGGAAGGGTACCAAGTAGCTCAGCAAGCAAAGGCAAACAGAACATGCAAGATTAGGAAATGAACCTCCTGGGAATCAGTTTCCTCCAGGACAGATCAACTGGAGTTGTCTTCCATTCTTATAGAGTCGTGGATGGTTCAGAGTCCTGGGGGAGGTTCTGAAGGGCTGACCTTTGGCTGGTTGTACCTTGGCAGGGGGAGCTTGGGCAGCCAGGTGGGACAGAATGGCTCCCTGAAGCAGCTGCCCCAGGACACTTGCTGTGCAAGTGTTTTCAACCTTCCCCGGGTTCAAACGGAGGAAGATGGGCAAAACCAGGCATGGGCCCTGGTGCTGTGCATGTGTGTGAGCACTGGCTGCACGCAGCTGCACAGTAAGTTCTGCTTGTTACCACTCTTCTTTATGGTTTGGGTTTTTGTTTTGCTTTGTTTTTAAAGATACTGGCATTAAAGGAAGTGGTTAAAGCAGTGATTCTCAATCCTGGCTGCACCCTAGAATTGTTTGTAGAACACATTAAAAAAATACAGATAATGGTAACCACCACTATGGCGTGTTTCACTTGCCAAGCACCGTGCACAACTTGCACGCTCGCATTAATGAGGGTAGGTGCCGTTGTTACTCTCATTTTGCAGATGTGGAAGCCGAGGCTCAGAGAGGTTTATTGTTTCCCCAGGATGCCCGCGAGGAAGTGAGAGAACCCTTCCGCTCTGGCTGGGCTCTAACCCAGCACGAGGGCCTGGCCTCCCCAGCAGAGTCACGCAGGGATTGGGCAGCCCTAGTGGTTCTTTCACAGCCAAGGCTGAGGATCACCGGCTCAGCGCTCCTGCCCCAACCAGGAATGATCCCCTGCCCCTGCCAGTCTTCCTCTTTTTCCCATCGCTGTCATCTAGAGAGTCTGCCTCTTTCATTCTGCCTTAATTCATGTCATGTCAGCATGTTCCAGGGTCACCCTGTTACCGCTGGCTGCGTAGTTAACCCCTTTTGTAACTTCTGTCCCACATCCCCTCCCATCCTCCTGGATTCGGTCCTTTGGAGCCCTACACTGTGCTTCTCTCTTCCCTGGCACCAAAGAGGAAGTCAGTGCAGAAAAGGGGGTGATAATAATGCATCACTGAGTAGCTGGCAAAGGTAAAGGAGAGAATATATTTCAGCACAGCAGCCAGCTCTCAGGTCGTAAATGTATGCCACCGTCATCAAGGTCACGGTGGTGAGTGTTGATGTAGGAGGCATACTTCCTGGGATGGTAAGAATAGTTCCTTGTTGCTGGGGAAATAGCACTGCCCCAGATGCCTCCTACCCAGGACCCTCTGGGCCTCCCTGTAACCTGACAACCACAGGGTCAACCTCTGTCAAGGGGCCAGGGTGGGCGGAGCTCAGGGCTCCTCCTGCTGGCTGATGCTCTGGTCAGAACTGGCTATATGAGCATCACTCTTGCCTGGGATTCTTGGGGACCCGGCGGCTGTGCCCCATCCCGCTTGTTGGGTCCCTGCAGTCTGGCCCCGTAGACTCAGCTTCACACAGCTGAGGTGCTTTCAGCGGAACTGCATTCTACACGTCGTTGCTGGCACAGGGCACCTGCTTGGGCCCAGCACCTTGCTCTGATGGGACACTCGAGGTGGTTCCAGAGCACCATTCCTGCTCCAAGGCAGCCCCATATAGGTTCCTACACCCGAGCCAGGAGTCTGTGGCCTTAACAAAGCAGGTTTTGCTTTCAGAGCTTCCTGGTGGCTGGGTTACCTTTCATCTCCTCCCCAAAGTGACAGGTTTTCAAAAATGTCTTTGGTTTTGGCATCTGGCTCTTGAAACGACAATTCCCCTTTTCTCTTGTTTCTGCCAGGGTCAGCAGGCATCAGCGGTCCAGGGAAGGAGGTGAAACAAATGGAGAATGGCATGCTGGTGAGCGACACCATGGGGAAGCAGCCGCAGAGGTAAGGGGAGGGAGGGAGGCCCATCCCTGCAGGTCCTCCAGCACCACAGTCCTGCCCCTGGTTGGCGGGGGAGAAGATGGACAAGGGTGCCAGTAGCTTGGCTCGGCCTACCAAAAAAGGCCTTGAGCTCCCCGGGACTTGGAGGGTGTAGGCTTTCTGCCCTCTGCCCCCATACTAAGGCGGGCCAAGACTGTGCGGCACAGTGAGCACTGGTGGAGTGGCTGCAGGTGGCTCTGGGTACCCAGAAGAGGGATGTCTTCTAGCAGAATTTCAGTGAGCAAGGCTGCCCCAGCTCCCTCTGATGATGGAAAGGCATGGACTGGAAGCTGGAGGGGATCCATGCCTCCTGCCTTCCATAGCTAGCAGTGTGTGGCTGAGGGTACAGACAAAGGGCTCTTTTGCAAGCCATGGAAGCCCTGCTCCTGTCACGTAGATGACGGGTGTGTACTGGAAGGGTACCAAGTAGCTCAGCAAGCAAAGGCAAACAGAACATGCAGGATTAGGAAATGAACCTCCTGGGAATCAGTTTCCTCCAGGACAGATCAACTGGAGTTGTCTTCCATTCTTATAGAGTCGTGGATGGTTCAGAGTCCTGGGGGAGGTTCTGAAGGGCTGACCTTTGGCTGGTTGTACCTTGGCAGGGGGAGCTTGGGCAGCCAGGTGGGACAGAATGGCTCCCTGAAGCAGCTGCCCCAGGACACTTGCTGTGCAAGTGTTTTCAACCTTCCCCGGGTTCAAACGGAGGAAGATGGGCAAAACCAGGCATGGGCCCTGGTGCTGTGCATGTGTGTGAGCACTGGCTGCACGCAGCTGCACAGTAAGTTCTGCTTGTTACCACTCTTCTTTATGGTTTGGGTTTTTGTTTTGCTTTGTTTTTAAAGATACTGGCATTAAAGGAAGTGGTTAAAGCAGTGATTCTCAATCCTGGCTGCACCCTAGAATTGTTTGTAGAACACATTAAAAAAATACAGATAATGGTAACCACCACTATGGCGTGTTTCACTTGCCAAGCACCGTGCACAACTTGCACGCTCGCATTAATGAGGGTAGGTGCCGTTGTTACTCTCATTTTGCAGATGTGGAAGCCGAGGCTCAGAGAGGTTTATTGTTTCCCCAGGATGCCCGCGAGGAAGTGAGAGAACCCTTCCGCTCTGGCTGGGCTCTAACCCAGCACGAGGGCCTGGCCTCCCCAGCAGAGTCACGCAGGGATTGGGCAGCCCTAGTGGTTCTTTCACAGCCAAGGCTGAGGATCACCGGCTCAGCGCTCCTGCCCCAACCAGGAATGATCCCCTGCCCCTGCCAGTCTTCCTCTTTTTCCCATCGCTGTCATCTAGAGAGTCTGCCTCTTTCATTCTGCCTTAATTCATGTCATGTCAGCATGTTCCAGGGTCACCCTGTTACCGCTGGCTGCGTAGTTAACCCCTTTTGTAACTTCTGTCCCACATCCCCTCCCATCCTCCTGGATTCGGTCCTTTGGAGCCCTACACTGTGCTTCTCTCTTCCCTGGCACCAAAGAGGAAGTCAGTGCAGAAAAGGGGGTGATAATAATGCATCACTGAGTAGCTGGCAAAGGTAAAGGAGAGAATATATTTCAGCACAGCAGCCAGCTCTCAGGTCGTAAATGTATGCCACCGTCATCAAGGTCACGGTGGTGAGTGTTGATGTAGGAGGCATACTTCCTGGGATGGTAAGAATAGTTCCTTGTTGCTGGGGAAATAGCACTGCCCCAGATGCCTCCTACCCAGGACCCTCTGGGCCTCCCTGTAACCTGACAACCACAGGGTCAACCTCTGTCAAGGGGCCAGGGTGGGCGGAGCTCAGGGCTCCTCCTGCTGGCTGATGCTCTGGTCAGAACTGGCTATATGAGCATCACTCTTGCCTGGGATTCTTGGGGACCCGGCGGCTGTGCCCCATCCCGCTTGTTGGGTCCCTGCAGTCTGGCCCCGTAGACTCAGCTTCACACAGCTGAGGTGCTTTCAGCGGAACTGCATTCTACACGTCGTTGCTGGCACAGGGCACCTGCTTGGGCCCAGCACCTTGCTCTGATGGGACACTCGAGGTGGTTCCAGAGCACCATTCCTGCTCCAAGGCAGCCCCATATAGGTTCCTACACCCGAGCCAGGAGTCTGTGGCCTTAACAAAGCAGGTTTTGCTTTCAGAGCTTCCTGGTGGCTGGGTTACCTTTCATCTCCTCCCCAAAGTGACAGGTTTTCAAAAATGTCTTTGGTTTTGGCATCTGGCTCTTGAAACGACAATTCCCCTTTTCTCTTGTTTCTGCCAGGGTCAGCAGGCATCAGCGGTCCAGGGAAGGAGGTGAAACAAATGGAGAATGGCATGCTGGTGAGCGACACCATGGGGAAGCAGCCGCAGAGGTAAGGGGAGGGAGGGAGGCCCATCCCTGCAAGTCCTCCAGCACCACAGTCCTGCCCCTGGTTGGCGGGGGAGAAGATGGACAAGGGTGCCAGTAGCTTGGCTCGGCCTACCAAAAAAGGCCTTGAGCTCCCCGGGACTTGGAGGGTGTAGGCTTTCTGCCCTCTGCCCCCAATCCTTGGGGGACCTCACTTTCCCAAGGGCAGAGGCCCAAAAGGGAGCCTGGCACTGCTCTGCCAGGTGGCACAGCTCACACGGGCCTCATGATTTTTTAACCATCTGTCTGCTTGCAACACTCGAGTTCCCTACATGGTGCGGCTTTTCGCTCCAGTCACTCCGAGGGCCTGGCGTGTTCAGACTTCCAAGAACTATCATTCGGTTTAAAATAGTGACTGTGTGTTTTATGTGCCATTAGAAGCCAGGCACAGTGCCAGCCCTGTACAGTCTGTTGGAGCTGGAGGTAGTTACTGTCATCTTTCCATCTTTATAGGTGAGCAGACAGAACTCTCCACAAGTCACGTGGCTAGAGAGAAGCTGAGCTTGGATTTGAACCCAAGTCTGGTCTCTGAGCCAATGCTCCTGAGTTCTGTCCTTTGCTGCTTTAAAGGAAGCTGCTTTGGGATAGATTGTTGGGTATTTAGAGGAGTAGCATTCTGTGGACCTTGTTCCTAACCTCTCCTTGCCTCAGTTTCATTATCTGTCAAATAGGGCGTGTGGCATACCTAATCACATAGGGCTGTAGGAAAACTTAGCAATGTAGTGTATGTAAGGCTCAGAGAGTAGAGTCTTGCTCTGGCAGCACTCAGTAAACAGCAGTCATTTGTTGGGCAAGCTGGGGCTGCCTGGAGTTACTTCCATTTTGAAGGGTGGATTTTACAGCAGTGGGGCTGGGAAGGGAATTGGTGTGAGGCAGTGCCCGCCCACATTGCCCGCGGTACCTCCTAGACTCAGATTTTTCTCACATGGGACAGGTGGAAATACTTCCTTCTCTGTGGGTGCACCTGTCAAGGTGGTGAGCTAGACGTACGTGTTTAAAGCACTTAGAACAGTGCCTCACCCAGTCAAACAAGGAGGGTGGGGGGCCTGCCAGGGTTCAGGCAGGTGGCCAGCATAGTCAGCCACAGTTGCTGCTCTCTAAGAATTTGCTGAGACAGCAGAGATAAGGCAGTGCCTGTGGTGGTCCTGACATGTAGGGGCAGGTGAGGGTGGGAAGCTTGTCAGAGAGAATGACCTCTCTGGGGGGACTGGGCAAAAACATAACAGAACACTGGGCGTGTTAGTTGTTATGCAACGAATTACCCCAGATTTGGTGGTTTGTCGTCTTGCAGTTTCTGTGGCTTGGAAGTCAGCATGGCTTCGTCGGCAGCTCTGTTCAGGGTCTCTCACAAGTGTCATCCAGGCTGGGGTCTCATCTGAAGGCTTCGCTGGGGAGGGATCTGCATCCAATCTCATGTGGCTCTTGGCAGGAATCAGTTCCTCGGGGGTTGTATTACTGCCCTTTTTTGGCTGCATGCTTGCTTCATTTAGGTGTGCAAACCATGGAGGCAGTAGAGAGAATCAGTGACCAAGACAGAAGTCACACCCACCCCTTGGCCTCTGTGGGTCTGAGCCATGGCTAAGAGAGGAAGTTCCTCTGTGCTCATGTGCACACACATGACGTTCCCTAAGGCTACAGGTCCCCAGGGAAAAGGACTGCCTCTGGGAGGAGAGGACTGGGCCCCTTGACCATCCTGGTCTGCATAAAGCTGATGACCACTAGGGGGCAAGAAATACTTTTTGAGTAATGCCTACATAAAGGAATGGTTCTTGGGCAGGGTCCTGGGGCAAGACCCTTCCCCTCTCTGGGTTGCATTTATAAAATTAGAAGACTGAATGGTCACCGACCCTGCCCAAAGGTTCCATTTGGTTGACACCCACATGCCTTGCTTTCTCCAGACAGCTCAGCAACTCCTCCTACAGCGGGGACGCCAGCCGGCACCACAACAGTGCCACTGAGGTGCAGAAAGCTGGAGCCAAGGAGGACACCTGGAAGCTGATGGAGAGAGACAAGGCTCAGACAGGGCAGGTGAGGGCCGGCGTCACTGTGCGACCGGGTGCTGGGCCCTATGCAGAGCCCTGTGGTTTGTTAACTTGTGTCTTCCTTAAAATGAGCTTACAAAGGTAGTGTCTTACAATGCAGGTCATAGAGGCCAGAGAGCCTGAAGATTTACTGACTTGCCCAAGATCTCAGCCAGTGAGTGGCAGAGCTGGGTATGAGCCCTGGCATCAGACCCCAGGGTTGACATTTATAGTCTCTGCTGTCCGGTCACCTCCTTTGAGCAGCTGAGGGCTCCTGCTAGCTGTTGGTGACCTGGGTGCTCTAATTCAGGGCTTCTTACCCCGTGGATTCAGTTTTATCTAAGACAGTTTCAAGATGTCACAGACTCAAGACTTAAAAAATCCTATATAGACAGAAAGAAATGTTTTTCATTTTTTTTAATTGGGTATGATTGACCTATAACGTGTTAGATGTACAGCATGTTCATTGATATGTTTATATAGATGTTCATGTATGGCACTGTGATTACCACCTTGCATTAGCTAAATCCCTTTATCCCATCATGTAAGTATCATTCCTTTTTTTGTGGTGGGATTCCTTCCTTTTTTATTTCTCTTCTAGCCTCTGTAATTACATCAGTGAGAACATCTTGAATTGGGTGCCAGCTTGTCTTTAATAAGTGTCTTAGTCTGCTCAGGCTGTGACAGAATACCCCGGGCTGGGCGGCTGGGAAACGGCACAGGTGTACTGCGCACGCTCCTGAGGTGAAGGTGAAGGTGCCAGCAGATCGGGCGGCTGGTGGGGGCTCACTTCCAAGTTTGTAGACTGCCGACTTTCCTCTGGTCCTCGGTGCCGGGAGGCAGTGAGGGGGCTCTCTGGGGCCTCTTTTATCATTATATTTTATATAATCCTAATACGAGGGCTCGTCCTCATGAGCTGATCACCTCCCAAAGGCCCCATGCCTTAATGCCCTTACATGAGAGGTTAGGATTTCAACATAGGAATTTGCGGGGGACACAAACATTTAAGTCCATAGCACTAACAATCACTAACTGCTCTGTAACAGAGGGCATTGGTTTCAAGCTCTTGTTTTATTTTGACTTTCTTTTTTTTACAATCATCTAATCTGCTGAGTGTCAATAGTTTTCCATTTATGGTAGTGATCCAAAGCTATTTTTAAAAAATAATTGTGATTTTTTTTTTTTAACTAGAGAATGGAGTTTTAAAATGCATAAAGAATAAATACACAGATAAAGAAAAACAGCCACGCCGTGAAAGGTGGTACAGGGACAAGTGATGTTGAGGCAGTGTTCTCCCAGACCTGTTGGATGCTTCCAGAATCTTCTAGGACCCTCTGTTCCTGGCTTCTTCCCTCATCTTGCCCGCACACCTTGGCTAGAAGGAGAGGTGGTGTCTGCCCTCCTTGCTCTCGCTGACCCTCCAGGGAGCCAGAGACATGACTGTGATCCAAGGACCACAGACTCCAGGCCCACTTAATCTTCATTTCATTCCCACACCACCCAGAGGAGATGGGTCCAGTGTTACCTGCATTTTACATGCACGAGAAATAGAGACCCAGAGGTGGGGGTGAGGGTGTAGGGGGCTTGTGACCTGCCAGAGTTGGACCAGCTCCTGAGGAAGACGTTCCTGAGCTCTGCAGAGTAATTCCAAGCTCAGTGGGCAAGCCTGGCTGCATGATGAAGCCAGACAGTGAAATAAACATGTTCTTAATTCTGGGCCCCCTCTCCCCACTGTTCAGCTTGAAGAACAGAGATTTGAAAAACAGAAATCAAAAGGAACCACTCAGTTATTTATCAGACCTCTCATCTTTCACCAGTTATTTTCCAGCAAGACTGTAAATCAAACATGATTTTTATGACCCAAAATTTAGCACAAGAAGTTTGCATTGAAAATGAGCACACACACAAGGAAAGATACCTGGACTTTGTTGAAACCAGGCCACGGGGTTTGGGCATGGGGCTGGCTTACAGCAGATGATCCCCCGTCTCTTGTGTTCAGGCCACTCCTTGGGTGGCTACATGTAATTATTTAGCCCCCATGCTGGGCTCCACGGGGATTCTGGGAGTGAAGGAAGCCCCCCACTCTCACCTAGTGGAGCTGGGAACGGGCTGAGCAGGCACCAAGTGATGGGAAGCCAGTGAGATGGTGTGGGATTGGTGTTCAGTGTTCAGAGGAAATGGGACAGTGGTGACACTGGGTCTTGGTTGCTGGGCCACAGGTCGCACCTTCCGACTGCTTCAGACTCATTGATGGCTTCCTGGTGGGAAAGGTTGGAATCCCAGCTCTGTGTGGTTTGGCCACTGCCTGTTCTGTAACTTCGTCTTGCTCCAGCCTCCCTTCCTCCTTCCGGTTCCCAAGCCTCCTTTGTTCCCTCCTACCTCAGGGCCTTTGCACAGGCTGCTTCCCCCACAACCAGGAGTGACTTTTTTCCATTTGCACCTGGTTAGTTAACTCTGATGTCACTTCCTTGAGGAAAAACTTTGATACCCACCGCCCTGGGTGAGGTCAGGATGCCCAGTTTTATATTCTCAGGGACCCATTTACCACTTCCAGCCCTTGTCTGTAGCAGAACATTTATCTGGGCAATGCTGTGATGAAAGCCTGCCTGGCCGCTCAGCTGGAAGCTCCAGGAGGGCAGAGACCTTGACCATGCTGCCAACCATCAGGTAGCTGAGGGGCCCATGCCGTAGGCTCCGTGAGGCTGCCCCTGAGTCCCGCAGGTGTGGACTGTAACGCGCCTTCCCTCCTGGGCTGCAGGTCAAGCTCTCCGTGTACTGGGACTACATGAAAGCAATTGGGCTCCTCCTGTCCTTCCTGAGTATCTTCCTTTTCCTGTGTAACCATGTCGCCGCTCTGGCCTCTAACTATTGGCTCAGCCTCTGGACCGATGATCCCATTGTCAATGGTACCCAGCAGCGCACGGAAGTCCGGCTGAGCGTCTATGGAGCCCTGGGCATTTTGCAAGGTAGGGGCAGCCCCTGCCCTCCCTCCCCTGTCCCGCCTCATTTTGGCACTTGGAACTGCTTCCATGTCTTCCATTCCAACCCCAGTTGTCAGGGTTTTGTGGACCACCCCCAAACCAAGCCAAACTCACATGAACAGACACATAGCAGACACTCAGATATTTATAGCATGAATATTTCTTGAATGCTCATTTTCATATGGCCCTAGGAGATGGAGGGAGGGGAGCTCCAATGTGCCCATTTTACAGATGAGGAAAGTTGAGGATCAGAGGCCCCCTTGTTGCTCTGTCAGGGTGATAAGGCTTCTGTAAGGTCTCATTTGCTGTCTGAGGGTGGGAATTAGTTTATTTTAGTGCTTCTCAGTGCAGGTAGTTTTGTCCCCCAGGGGATATTTAGCAATGTCTGGACATACTTAATGGTTGTCACAACTTAAGGGTGCAGGTGGGCCCTGCTGGCATCTAGAGGCCAGGGATGATGCCAAAACTCCTGTAATACATAGCACTGCCCTCACAACAGGATTTTCTAGCCCTACATGTCAATAGGTGCCCAGATGTTGAGCAGCCCTGCTACATATACCCTTCTTGTGGTATATGCACACATGGACAGGACAGCGTAAATGGTGGTAGCCAATGTCTACTGAGCACTTACATGGTGTCTGGTTCTGTTCTCAGTACCTGAACCTATTTTAACTTATTTTATTTCTGCAGCAATCCCATGAGGCAAGAGCTAATATTTCCCCCATTTTAGAATGCAGTAACTGAGGCCCAGAGAAGTTAAGTAAGTCGCCCAGAGTCTCACAGCTTATTCATGGCAGGGCTGGCATTGAATGAGACAGTCTGGCTCAGGAGCCCCCACTCTTAATCATTCAGTTACAGAGCACATGAGCTATGTGTTAGGTGCTCATACAGATGGTATGAATCTGTGCTTATATAGGTACATTAAACATCTATGATACAGATGTGTAGACAATAAACATACGTATTTGATGTTTTTGAGTACTTCCTGTCCACCAAGCACCTTGATCTTTCCATTCAACAGTGCTACAGTAGAGGTATCATTGTCCCCATTTTACAGATGAGGAAGCTGAGGTATAGAGAGAGGATGAAAATGACCTGTGGGCAGTCCCTCCGCTGGTAGGGTGGAGACAGGGTTTGGCAGTTGCTGGCTCCAGAACCTGTCATTTTGGCTCCTGCCTCTCGGGTTTCTTCCCTGATGAGGGAGGCCAAGATACAAGCCTGTCCATCCCTCTGAGATCACCTCTACAGCGAGCAAGTGTCCTACCATGCATGTTTGCAGGAGCCAGAAATGCCTCATGATCTCTGGGAGGTGGCTTTCAGGAAAACCAGAAGAGCAGACAAGGATTTTTTAAATTCCTCAGTCCTTAAATACCTCCCCATAGGGCAGAGGACTGTGGCCTCCAAATCACTGAGGGAAGGTGAGGCACCAAGAGGGTGTGCTGGTACCCAGGCCCACACAGCAGTGTGTCCTGGGACTGGGCTTCCACTCTGGTAGTAGCCACGGGCCACCTGTGGCTGTTTGAATTTCAAGTAATTAAAATTAAATAAAATTAAAATCTTAGTTATTTGGTGCACTAGACACATTCCAAGTGCTCAGCAGCCATGTGGAGCTAGTGGCTTCCACATTAGACTGTGCAGATACAGGGCACTTTCATTATCCGAGGAAGTTCTGTTGCACAGCATGGTCCAGAGGAATATGGTGTACAGATTAAGAGCATGACCCTGGAGCAGGGATTGGTTGAGTATATTGAGGGCAAAGGAATTCACCTGAGCCTCAGTTTCCTTATCTGTAAGATGGGTAGTGATATAACATACACACAGTCATCGTAAGGATTAGGTAAGTATAAAACTCCAGCACAATGATTAGTATATAGTGAGTGCTCAAGGAATAATACCCACCACTACCATCATTATTATTACAAGCTGAGAGCCAAGGCCTGTTTCATCCACATGGCCGCCCATCCCTGCCCCCAGCTCGGTGTCTCTGCCATTCACGGAGTTTAACACGGGAGTGTTTGTAGGTGTCACGGTGTTTGGCTACTCCATGATGGTGTCCATTGGGGGGATCTTCGCCTCCCGCCGCCTGCACCTGGACCTGCTGCATAATGTCCTCCGGTCGCCCATGAGCTTCTTTGAACGGACTCCCAGTGGGAACTTGGTGAACCGCTTCTCCAAGGAGCTGGACACGGTGGACTCGATGATCCCGCAGGTCATCAAGATGTTCATTGGCTCCCTGTTCAGTGTCATCGGTGCCTGCATCATCATCCTGCTGGCCACTCCCATTGCTGCCATCATCATCCCGCCCCTGGGCCTCATCTACTTCCTCGTCCAGGTGAGAGGGGACAGGTCTCGGTGCCCAGCAGGAGCCCTACTGTGTCTTGTGCTCCGATGTGAGCTGAGGGCTCCCTCCCTTTTACCATATCCCTGTGTGGAGCTGTTGAGGATTTGCTAGAGGAGGGGTCAGTTTTGATTACCTTACGGATTGTTTCTAGCTTGCAGTACCCAGTGTGTTTTTTTTTTAATAGGTTTAATTTCTGTAGCTATAAGTTATAATGGGGGAAAAGCTGTAATAATTAAGAACATTTATTATTAAAATTCCTTTAAGAATTTAATTAAATTTAATTATCTGTAAAACAGGTAGTAATATAACATATATATATAACTTATAAATTTAATTTAATTTGTTAGGTTTTAAGCCCCTGCAGATAAAGGAGATGTAAGTAACAGCAGTTTAAACAAGATAGACATTTATTTTTCTCTCTCTCATAGAAATTTAGAGGTAGGTCATTCAGGGCTATTACAGCAGTTCCATGAATTTGTTTATACCTATATTCTTACACTGTTTGTTTGTTCTCTGCCATCTTTGCACAAATCTTCTATTCTTAAGTTGATCCTGTGGTCCAATATGGCTGCAGGAGCTCCAGCCATCACATCTGTGTTTCAGATAACAAGACTGAGGAAGGAGAACACTTTCCTGAAGGACCCAATGCCAAAGAACAAATAGGCCAAATGAGCAAGGGAGCATTTAACAGCTGAGTCATTGTGGTTTACTTAAGTATAGATTCTGCTTCCTGTTGACATGAGCATGTTGAGGCCCTAGTGGCAGAGTTATAAGTGTGAACTCCTATCTCTCTGAGTCATAGCTTGTGCTATTTTCACAGGCCTCTGAAAGATTAGCTACAGCACAATTTGTGGTGGGGACAGTGGTTTACATGGGAGCATAAAACTGTAACCCAAAATAAGTGTGAGAAACTATGAAGTACTCCAGACCCCAAACCGTACTGTGGCCTGTTCATGCAGGGTCCAGGAGGCCTGGTGCGGTCAGTCCTTGAATGCCACCACACTGTGGCCCAGTGGTTGGTGAGTGTGAGCAAAGGTGGAATCAGAGCAGGTCTGGTTCCCGGATCCACATTGTGTTCTTTTTAAGCTGGTGCTAGCTTTTTTTTGAAAATCACCCAGCTGCATTTAATCAAAAATATTATCTGTGTTCATACCCTGACTGGGATTTTTCCTGAAGGACCCAATGCCAAAGAACAAAATAGGCCAAATGCAGCATCTGAGGCAGCCCAAATACCTGCCAGTAGCAGGACTTTGAGCACACCATGGAGTGATTCCATGATGGAATATCATGTACTTAGAAGGAACAATTGGGAAGACACTGTTTCAACACCACCAGTTTAATTTTTAAACAACAAAGGAAATTAAAATTTAGCAAAGGATCATGTTATATGCATGCTGTCCTTATAATTAAGATGAAATGCATGATGTGTGTGGGCGGGACTGGAAAGGGGGTCCGAATAATGAAAACATTGCCTTTCTAAGATTTAGGATTATGGGAGAATTTTTTTTAATGGCTTTTAGCTAAATATACACTTGCCCTATAATCCAGCAATTTCACTCCTCAGTGTATGTGCAACAGAAACAAGAGAATGTACCCAGCAGGGGAAGAAAAAGTACTAGAATGTTCTTAACATATTGATTTATAATTGTCCCCAAACTAGAAACAACTCAAACATCTGTAATGAGACAATGAATAAATACACTGTGATATATTTATGCAATGGTAGTGCCTCAGCAATAAAAAGAAATGAACTACTGATCCATACAAGGTGGATGAATCTCACAGATACGATATTGATCAAGACACAAGCCAGAAGAAGCCAGACACAAGAGAGTAAATGCTGTGATTCCATTTATATAAAGATCAGGAACAGACAAGAATGATATGGTGATAGAAGTCAGAATAGTGGCAATAGTGGATATTGACAGGGGATACAAGAGACCTTTCTGGGGTGCCGGAAATATTCTGGATTTTGATGAGGGGTAGATATGCAGGTGCAGATAAGTGTAAATCCATCAAGCTCTGAAGATTTAGTGCACTTTGCAATGTTAATGGAAATGTTGTCATATCTAAGTTAAAAAGTGGCCTTTAGATGTATGTGTATACACACACTCTCTTAGAAAAGATCTGAAAGGTTATATGCTGAAATTTGAATAGTGTTTAATCTCAGGGTAGTAGACGTAATATAATTTTGATTTAATCTTCCTATATGTATCACCCCCCAAATATTTTATAATGGATATATGCTACTGTTTTACTTTAAAAGCAAGTCATTTTTATCAGAAAGTAATGTAAGCAGAAAGGTGGTGTGGGATTCTTGTTGGGGCTGCCATGTTGCTACAATAAAGCATTTCCGTTTGATGGAATTGTTTGGCGTCCATGAGGAACATCTGGCTGCAGGTCTCAGTATGTCAGCTCTCCACCTACAGCCTTGGTCTCTTAAAGAATAAGGCAAGTCCAGCGGTTGGGTGATGGCTCCTGCAGAAAAGTATTAACAGGGAACCTAATGGAAACAACCTAAGTGTCTATCATTGGATGGATGGATAAAGAAGTCACGATATATTTCATATATATTTATATATGTAATGGAATACTATTCAGCCCTAAAATATGAGGAAATCCTACCATTTGCAACAACATGGCTGGACCTTGAAGGCATTATGCTAAATGAACTCAGAGAAAGACAAAGACTATATGATCTCGTTTATAAGTGGAATCTAAAAAAGTCCCAAACTCTCAGAAAAAGAGATCAGACTTGTGGTTACCGGAAGTGGAGGGTAGGGTAAGGAGGAGGAATGGAAAGGTGATCAAAAGGTGCAGACTTCCAGTTTTAAGATGAATGCATACTTGGATGTAACCTACAATGTAATGACTATAACTAACATTGCTGTATGGTATATAGGAAAGTTGTTAAGGGAGTAAATCCTAAGAGTTCCCATCACAAGGATAATTTTTTTCCCCTTTTTTCTCAGTTCTTTTCTTTTATTGTATCTCTATGAGAAGGTGGATGTCAGCCTAAACTATTGTGATCCTCATTTCACTGTGTACACAAAGCAAGCTATCAGGCTATTCACCTTAGACTTATAGAGTAATGTACATATGTCAATTATTTCTCAAAATTGGGGAAATGTTTTTTTAAAGGGGGGGAAGCTAATAATTATTTTTTGAAAATCAGATTATTCCTTAACAAAAATTCATCTCAGATGAGATTTGTACAGCAAATAAAATTTTGAGGTGGTGACAAGAGGGGTAAGTTGAGCAGGTAAAAACACTTCAGAATGGCTTCCATCTGGGAGGTTTATAAGGGGAGCCAGGGAGAGGAGCTGATCATGACTGAGGGCAACAGGGGCAGATCCCAAGGGACTCTCGGCCATGCTGAGGGGTCTGGACTTCATTCAGGACACTGGGAGCTGCTGGAGGGGAGATGCCATTCTGACCTACATTCAGGGATTGGCAGAACAACTGTCTGAGACTGCCCGGCTTGGTGTGTTCCGTGGGTTAGCTTGCAGTTTCTGGGGCCTCTGAAGGCTGCCCCACTGTGGGTTCAAACTACTGCCTGGGCTGCCATCCCGAACGAAGCTAATGACCTTGGAGGTCTCGTGAGAGCCTCCACCGTTATGCTGGCTGCTCTTGGTGGATGGTCTCTGCGCCAGAATGGGCCAGCGGGAGGCAGGGAGGCTGTGTCCCCGACTGCTCTTTGTTTGTCCAGCCCTGACATGTCCAGAGCTGCACATACATTGTGTCTTGAGCACATTGGGAAGAGGGAACCTCGATCTCACCAGTTGTGTTTGTACAGATGAGGAAACTAAGGCTAATAAAACCGAAGAGTTCTGATGACCAGTCCATCATCTGTTCTCAGCTCCTCAAAGCCTCCAGCGGGGGATTTGTATTTGTTCCATCTGCCTGGGGTTACAGCAGAGTCAGGGTTGAACTGAGATCTGGTTGTCCTCAAAGCCTGCATCTAAAGCCATAAAACCCTAGAGGTCAGTGGTTTCAGAGAGAAGCCCAGTGCAGAGATTGGCACTTTGCGGCCAGGCAGTCTGGGTTCGAATCCCAGCTCTGGCACTGCCTAGCCCTGTGACCTCAGGGAAGGGGTAGCTAAGTTCTTTGTATCCTGATTTGCTGAAATAGGAATGAGCACTTCATAAGCTTGAGTGACAATTCGGTGAGCTGACATACAGGACAGTGCTTAAAACAGTGCCAGGATGGTGGGGGTAGTTAGTGTTACTGTTATTATTGCCGTCACTGCTGGTGGCGGCGGTGATGGGCCTGCAGTTCACCAAGCGCATGGAGGTACCTGCTAAGAGCAGCCCAGCACCGACATTTTGCCTCCTGAAGGTATCATTTATATCCAGACTTTCTCCAGCACAGCCCTGGGAGAATGGGGATGAGGGGAGCTTGGCAACTCCCCTGTTTTTCTCCTGGCAGAGGTTCTACGTGGCCTCCTCCCGGCAGCTGAAGCGCCTAGAATCAGTGAGTCGCTCCCCTATCTACTCCCACTTCAATGAGACCTTGCTGGGAGTCAGTGTCATTCGCGCCTTTGAGGAGCAGGAGCGCTTCATCCACCAGAGCGACCTGAAGGTGGACGAGAACCAGAAGGCCTACTACCCCAGCATCGTGGCCAACAGGTGGGTGGGCGCCCCAGGCCCACAGGAGGAAGCCTCCCTAATGAGTGTGTGAAGCCGGAAGGGATGAGTAGACGCAGTGAGAGGAAAGGACAGACTGCCCATTAAACGCAGGCAGGAGCACTGTTAGCATGCAGTGCTGCAGGGGCATGTGCGTGCAGGAATAGAGTCCTTCTGGAATCACCTTTTGGCTGTTGTCCTGGTGATGCGTGGTCATCAGTGACAGGCACACTCATTGTTACCTTTGTGCCCTACTTCTCAGCTGACAGCACCCCTTTTGATGAGTATGGCAAGCAGTTTATTAATTGTAGGTTGAACCATGTGACATTGTTATTTGGGGGATTCAAGAATGGCTGAATAGCAACAATTAAGAAAAGGGGCAGAAATTTACTACTTATTGACCGAATTGAGACAAGGGTCTGATTTATCCCTAAAATCGTCCTCACTCATTTGTACCCCGATAAATGTTTTGAGACATGGGATTGAAAACTCTGGGGAGGGGGTGATAGCACCCTGGAAGTGAGCAATCATAATCAGCCGTCAGCCCCGTCACACACAATGTGTCCTATAGTGTAAGACGGAGTGGGGGACCGTAAATTACTGGAGACCTTGCTATCTCTTGCAGAATTTTGTAGAGATTTTATCAAAATCTGGGTCTCTCTGTGGGAGTAGCTCACTCTCATGAAGATCAGTCATGTATATCATAAGGGCTGTAGTGGAAAAAAAGGCAATAATATCTCCCTAGAAGGCTTTGCATTTAAAACATTAGTATTCCTAATGCTGTATGGTATCTTAACAAAAGTTAGCTTTAAGACAATAAAATATTTGTTTATATTTTAAAAGGTAAAATAACACATTTTAGCATCTCTGGAACAAGAATGAGCTGGGTCTGGGAACATTCTGGGAACATTACAGCTACATTTAAAATGGCCTTTTATTTCTCACTCCCCCTGTGCCACCAAGAGAAGGTTATTTTAAATCAGTGATTCCTCTTACAGTTGATGACTAATTAGTATTTAGGAATTTCCCAGGACATCTTTTTAAAAAATACATACATGGGTATATTTTAAAGCTTTTAATGAGAAAAAGTTGGTTCTTAAAAAGGTAAGCTTTGGTTTCCTCAGCAGATTGCTTCTGGAAAACTGCTTTAATCCCTGGAGTTGCCAGATTAATGAGGGATTACTGAAATTGTGTCCCCCTTCCCCATGTCCTATGAGCAGGGCAGACTAGGTCTATCTCAGGAATTATTTCAGTTAGCCAAGTGCCCCTGCTGCAAACTGGAACCCGAGTCTCTGCAGGCTGACTTGGGCTGGTGTCCATCTGCCTGTGTGTCTCCGCAGGTGGCTGGCCGTGCGGCTGGAGTGTGTGGGCAACTGCATCGTCCTGTTTGCCGCCCTGTTTGCTGTGATCTTCCGGCTCAACCTCCGCGCTGGCTTGGTGGGCCTCTCGGTGTCTTACTCACTGCAGGTAAGAGGAGGTGCGCCCTGCTGGGTTTTCTAGTTCTCCTAATGCGGGAGCCAGTTGTCAGGTTCCTGGGCCTTTGTTTTGAGTCCTGTGGCACCTGGGGAGAGGGAAGGGGCCAAGTGGAGTTTGAGGAGCCAGGGTAGAGGCCAGTGACCCACTGGACCAAGAGAGAAGTGAGACTTGTGGCCAGGATTCCCCCAGCAGTCGAGGAAGGTCCTTGCTGGTCTGAGAGGATGCCTCCAGCTATGAGAGTAATGGCTTTTGACATTATAAATTTTCCTCTCAGCACCGCTTTAGCTGCATCTCCCAAATTTTGATACATTGTATCTATTATCTTCTAGTTCAAAATATTTTCTGATTTCCTTTGTGATTACTTATATGGCCGTGGGTTGTTTTGAAATGTGATGCTTTCTTATGCAGTGCAGCAGGTCTGGATGATGGCTGTATGTGAGGTTGCTGTTTTCTGTACTTTTCTCATCTGAAGTATTTCCTAATTCATAATCACTTCATTAAAATACAGCAGCTCATGCTCATTCTAGAAGCCCCATGTGACTCCTCCTCCACTTGCAGGTCACCACATACTTGAACTGGCTCGTGAGGATGTCGTCTGAGGTGGAGGCCAACATTGTGGCTGTGGAGAGACTCAAGGAGTATTCAGAAACGGAGAAGGAGGTAAGGCAAGCCCCTGGCCTGACTGTTGGCCTTGACCTTCTGTGTGATTTTCTTTAAAGAATCCTTTGAGCCCTCAACAGGCGACCTCTATCTGACAAAAATAATCTGTTATCTGTTAACATATTTTAATGGGGGATTTCTATTATGGAAAATGAAACTAGTTTCCTCTTTAAGTTTAGAAAATAAGTACAAATGAGTTAACTGGAAGTATTACAAGTCAGGAGCAGAATCAGTACATGGGTATTGCAAAAATCATGATTGGTAAGGAATTGACCAAAGGTTCTGAAACCCTGCAGTTACTTAGCCCAAGTTCCCATTTTATAGATGGAGAAAAAAGGATGAAAATTCTCCTTTATTGTCCTCTCCATTCCTCTCCTTCTCCAAAGGTAGCTGTGAGCCAGGCCCAGAGCACAGCCAGTTGTAGTCCTCAGGAAATGCTGAGCTGAACTAAAAAGAAGCTTTTCCGAAATAGAGGCTGTGTGACCCTGGTCAAGTTACTTGCTCCCTCTGTGTCTCTGTTTTCTCATATGTAAACCAGAATAACAGAATGACCCCACTCAAAGGAATGTAGTGAGGATTAAATGAGCTGAATGACCTTTAGGTGTTAGCTGCTGCTTTTATTGTTGACTTCCAGACCTAGAAGGTGGTTGGAGTAACTCATCTTCACCCTTGTATCTATCCAGAGAAGCCTCCTCATTCATTGATTTTTATAAGTAGACTCTGGGCCTTAGGACATAGCAGGCAACAAATGCTAAAAGAGCTTGTCCTCACGGACTGGATATTCCTGTGGGTGTGGGTGACAGAATAAATACATACACATGTACTTGAAATGCTAGGAGGTGCTAAGTGCTCCAAAGGAGAACAAAGTGGGAGGCGGTTAGGAGGGTGGTCTGAATCGGCCCACATGTGCAGAGACCTGCAGCATGAGAGGGTAGTTTGGGGAAGAGCCTTCCAGGCAGAGGAAGCCATGGGTGCAAAGGCCCAGCAGCAGACATGTGGGTGGGTTTGAGGATTAGTCCAGAAGTCAGTGTGGGGAGCACAGTGAGTGAGAGGGAATGGTGAGGTCTGACAGTCTCACCGAAGAGGCTGGGGGCATGTGAGGTGGACTTCAGATTCCTTACTCCCTCACCCACTGCCTGCTGTGCTCACAGGCTCCCTGGCGAATCAAGGAGATGACTCCACCCAGCACCTGGCCCCAGGTGGGCCAAGTGGAATTCCGGGACTATGGCCTGCGTTACCGAGAGGACCTGGACTTGGTTCTCAAGCACATCAACGTCACCATCAGAGGAGGGGAAAAGGTGGGTGCACGGTGCCCGCCCCCACACCTGTATAGGTCGCAGCCAGGCAAATGAGACCAGCTGAGTCATTTCCTCAGTCTGTCACAGACCCATGTCACAAGGGGGAGTGCCTATTTTTGGAGGGGCTTGTGGAAGTAAAAGAGGCTCAGAGTGTCCCAACAGGACTACAAACTGGTAGCCCGAGGGCCAAATGAGACCCACTGATAGGTTTTGAAAAAAAATCTGAGTAAGTTGCAAATACTGAAAAACATGGAAGGTTTTATATAAAAATCCATTTCCTTCTTCTCTTGAAAGATGAGAACATCTAGCCCACTGGTTGCATACTCCTTGCCTGGCTCTTTCTGGATAAGACATGAGCCAACCAGTTCACGCAGTCCCTCCCCGCCCCAGTCATGTGCCAACTGGGCCCCCGTAGGCACTCATTTGCCATCTCTAGAATAGAAAGATGTCATCGTCAGTACTCAGATGGCCCAAGGGACGTGTGGGATTGTCAGAATTTTTAGACAAACATTGGTCTCCAGTTATTTCTAGAAGACTTCCTTGCCCTGAGATCCTCAGACTGCTGAGAAACCAGACCAAGAGTCTTCCTGGCCATTTGCCAGGGGATAGTGTTCTTTCATCTTTGAATATATGGATGTGTGAAACTATCCCTGCCATAAGGCTCAGAATGTTCCCTTCCCATGAGATGATTTCTCTGATTTATCACCAGGGGAAGAACAGCGGGTGGTGTTCTCACTGAGGCTTTATGGGGTGTATCATGAGACTGTGCTGTACATCTCTGTTAGAGGGTGGGAGAAGCCCGCCTTTCACGAGCCCACGTGGAATGGGAGAGTTGTAATTGGATGTCAGAAATGTCAATCACTGGCTATTGGATGGGGAGCCCGGTTCCCTCAAGATAGTTTAAAGTGGAGACGAGGTCATATCCGTCACCTCTTTTTTTTGCCTGAGTAGCTGGGATGGGGGGAAAGGAGTGTGCGGGGGACCTGCTTGAATCTTTTGACAGCTGAGGATGGGAACGTCACCATCAGAAGACTGAAAAACAATGTGAGGGAAATACCTGGTTGTTACTTAATATTATCTTGAGCTGAAAATAATAGGGCTTTATTGAAAATCTGTTCTTTCTTTTTTTATAATTTTAACTTAGAAAAGAAAAGTGGCAAAGAGAAGGGAGTCCTTCTCGACCTTTGGCCAAAACAGCTCTTAAAAGAGTGTCTCTGAGAAGCCTCAGAGGGGTTGAGTTATGGCAGGAACGGGGTTGACCAGATGACTTAACTACACTGAGGCAAATTCCTAAAATGGGGGTGCTGTGGGGCAGGAGGGAACCCCCAGATACCAGCATTCCCGCCTCACCCTGGGCCCTTTGTGTCCCACAGGTTGGCATTGTAGGGAGGACAGGAGCTGGGAAGTCGTCCCTGACCCTAGGCTTGTTTCGGATCAACGAGTCTGCCAAGGGGGAGATCATCATTGACAACACCAACATCGCCAAGATTGGCCTTCACGATCTCCGCTCCAAGATCACAGTCATCCCCCAGGTGGGGGCGCCGTGGGGCCAGGAGGGTAGGCTGGGTCACACTTGGAGCAATGTATGTATATTTTCAGGAACAAATGTATGTTTGTTCCTACTTCGTTATTTTCATTGTATTTATTGAAAGTATGTTCTCCAGTGAATCTCCTGTTAGCATATAAACAACAGTGGGAATTAACCAGGGATCATCCCCTCACTCCTGCCACCCAGTAGGCAGTTTTCCAAGCACCTAACAGGATCCAGACACTGGCTTCTCTGCTGGCTCTCAGTCAGGATGAGAATCTCTAACGCTCCCAAGAGCTAGACAAGAAATAGGAACTTTCTAGATTTTTTCTGTAGGTAATGATTCCCTAATGTGTTGCCTTTTAGTGTTTTTCCCTAAAATTTATTCTAAGATTCTCTTTTGGAGGCAGGGAATAGGGAGGAATCCATAGTGCTTTATGATGAAGAATTTTCCATGCTGTGTCTCCCTTCTGGAAGACTCCCAACACATTTGCATATTGAAGGCTCTAGGAAGTCTTACAAAAAAGAAATCTGTTTTTATTTCACTTAACCCAGGGTTTTCTGGACCTTTTTTTTTAAATTAACATCTCCAGAAATAGTGATTCTGAGGTACTCTGGAATCCCGTCTCAAACATTTTTGGCAAGAACTTCTTGTGTCCCACCTCTTTGCTGCATCCATGTCTAGTGTGAAGTGAGGCTCACACACGTCTGCTGTCTCCTCTCTGAACAGGACCCCGTTTTGTTTTCGGGTTCCCTCCGCATGAATCTGGACCCATTCAGCCAGTACTCAGATGAAGAAGTTTGGACGTCGCTGGAGCTGGCTCACCTGAAGGACTTCGTGTCAGCCCTGCCCGATAAGCTGAACCATGAGTGCACAGAAGGCGGGGAGAACCTGAGGTAGGCAGGGGAACAGCGCCCCAGCAGGGTTTCCTTGGCCCCGCCTCAGCCAGGGTATTGGAAGAGTCTGTCCTTTTGCATCTGTGTCAGACCTGGGTTGGATCCCCAGCTCTGCCACAGGCAAGTTGTCTGTCTCTAAACCTCTTGGAGCCTCAGTCTCAGTATCTGTAAAGTGGGTTTCAGTCCAGGCTCATGTCACCATGAGTTGTAACCAAATGGCCAGGCTGCTTCCTTTCTTACACCAGATCCATTCAGCTGACAGTGATTGTCAGTTGTTAAACTATTGAAAACTTCTCTGCTAGTCAGGAAAGAGCACTGCTGTGAGCCCTCTGAGTGCCCCCTGCTGCCCCAGCTGCCTTGCCCTCCTCCCAGAATCCCCAGGAGCCACCTGTGATCCAGCCATAAAAGTATTAATGCTTAGTGCAACAGGGGACTTAGGGAGTCTGTCCCCATGTCATTGGTCAGTGCCTCCTTCAGTTATCTGTTGCCATGATGACCAAGCACCAAACTTCAGGGGCATTCAGCAGTATCAGTGACTGTTACACACTTGGGGGGGCGTCAGCCAGGCAGCTCTGCTCGTCTTGCCTGGGTCCACTCATGTGGTTGGGGGTCTGCTCCCTGTTGGCTTATCTAGTTGGCCTCCACTGGGGCAGTTAGGGTCTGCTGTGTATGTCTCTCAGCATCCAGCAGACTGGCTCAGCATCTAGGTTCAGAAGTGAGCAGGCCTGGGCATGCATTCCCATTTCAAGCCTCTGCCAACATCCCATTGGCTAAAGCAAGGCACATCATTGTGTCCACTGTGGGGATCCTCAGAAGGCATGGATATGGGACCATTTTTGCTATCTGTCACACTACCCACACTGAACTGGTCAGATATTTTGGATATCACCTCTGAGCCCTGCATTGAGAATGATTCTGAGCCTGCTTTAGCTCAACAGGAAGAATGTTCTAATTGATGAGTGATGTCTGTCATAAGCATGGAAGGGTTCTCCTGGTCTAGGCAACACTGTGTCTCTCCTCCCTTCTCCCAGCCCAGGCCTGGGCTCAGGTCAGGGATGGTTTTGACACTCTGTCTCCCGCTCTAGCGTTGGACAGCGTCAGCTCTTATGCCTGGCCCGCGCCCTGCTGAGGAAGACAAAGATCCTTGTGTTGGATGAGGCCACGGCGGCCGTGGACCTGGAAACAGATGACCTCATTCAGTCTACCATCCGGACGCAGTTTGAGGACTGCACCGTCCTCACCATTGCCCACCGGCTCAACACCATCATGGACTATAAGAGGTGATGCCCTGTCATAGGAGGCCTCCAGGCCTGAGCTTCACCCCATTCATTCATTTAGCCATTTGGCGCTGTCCTTTTGTCTAGTGACAGCCCCAGCTTGTGGAACCTTTCTTTGTCCCAGGTAGTACCACATATTTCTGACATCACTCAGTCATTTATTTAATCAGTACACGTGTGGAGTGTGTGCCAATTCCTGGCCCTGTTCTAGGCTCTGAGGACTCACCAGGGAGCTGTCAGACAAGGAACCTGCCTAAGGGACCTCGTAGATTACTTGAGGGCTCGGTAGGGAGACAGCCAATAAACACAACAGCAAATGAAAGCTAGTTGTGCTGGGGAAGAGATGGAAATGGTGATAATGAGTCCTGGGAGCAGCATCACTGGACTTTGATGTAACTAGAAATAGGGATTGAGGGTGGGCAGCTCGTTGGAAGGTGACTGCAACAGGCCTTGCAGAAGGTACTGGGAGCCTGATCCAAAGCAGGGACTCCCCCAGGTGGGCTCTTGGGGGCATACGGTGCCCCTTTCATGTCTGCATCCTTTGCCCTTGCAGGGTGATCGTCCTGGACAAAGGAGAAATCCGGGAGTATGGCACCCCGTCTGACCTCCTGCAGCAGAGAGGTCTCTTCTACAACATGGCCAGAGATGCTGGCTTGGTGTGAGCCCTGGAGCTGGTGTGTCTGGTCAGAACCGCAGGGCTGACATACTAGCACAAAGGGGCTAATCTGCATAGTCGGGAACCCAAGCCTCGCATATACAGAAACCAAAAATAAAAAACCAAAAACCCAAAACACACACAGAGCAAGCACCGTCTGGCTCCCCGCCTGGAACTGGCCTTGAAGAAACAGGAGAGACACAAAGATGCCACCCACCCAAACCACTCACACCCTTTCTTTGCCTGTGTTACCCTCACAAGGCATACACACAATCACATACCCCTGGAAATGCACACTTGTGCTCCTGGTGCTCTGTGAGGAGTTTTTGGCAGCCAGACTTCAAGAACAATTGGTTGGATGAGATATGCTAGTGACCAAATCCAGCCGGCTGCCTCAGATCTCCCAGCCGAAGTCTGTGGCTTCTGAGGCTTTGAGACGCTTCCTGGCTGCTGGCCGCCGGCAGCTCTTCACGGCCCCTCTGATGCCCCCTGCCCGGCTCTACCCAGAATGCTTCGTTTCCTCTGGGCTGCAGTTTGGAGATAAGGGCCCGGGTGAAGATCATTCTCACCCTTGGGCGGTGTCCCCAGGGCCACAGACACCCCACTCTCGCCAACCATCTGGTCTTCCTGGCACTCCCATTCTGGGGCCCAGCGTCTCAGCACTGCCCCCACCAGGACTTGGCTGGACTTGCAGGCAATCTGGATCTGGAGCTCCATGCCTGGTGATGGGTCTTCTCAATGCGACTTCCCAGTATGGTTGCTCACCTCCTCGCCCACTCCAGTCTTGTCTTTGCTTTCTTTTGTACCTGTTTTGGCCCATTGCTAGAAAGGGTTTACTCCTCTAGGTACTGGAAAGAGAAGAGCTGCTACTGATTAGGAAGCATTCAAAGCCAAGAGCACCAGGTGTCTCTCAGGTACAACCAGCTTGTACTGTAAAGTGGCCCATTGAGTCTCCTCTTCATTTTTAGATTTTGATTTCTCACCCTCGGCATCTCTTTAGCACAAGGGTGGCAGTTTGGAAAACTTGACATATAGTTACTTAGTCTCTTCCAGGAGAAAGAACCTATTCATGAATGTCAGTGAATTCTTCTTTTCTTTTTTTTTTTTGTTAAGTGCTGCTTCAAGGAGACTTTCATTTCTTGGGAGGAAAATTAGGCCGAGGGGCAGCATTCCCAGGGAACGGCTGAGTTGGCCCAGCATCTGACAGTTGGTCTGCATGTTCCTAGAAGAAAACAAACAATCCTTCAAGGTTTATTCTTTAGGTCCCTTGGGGACCCAAGTGAGACCTAAAAAGCAGAGAGAGGCCACTGCTGCTCCAAGGTTCATACTTGCTATGAATTATGTTGCTGACTTCACACCCAGAGAAGCATCTTTCTTCTTTTAGGTGGAAATATATATTTATTTTTTTTTTGTAAGTTATATCATTCTTTCACATAGGTAAACCAAGTTTTTCTTGGGGATCTTTTTGTAATGGCTTACACTGGAACCATGAACATTTGCCAATAATTTGCAGTAAAAAAATATTTTCTTTCTAAATGGCTGCTCTGTTTTCTTTGGGGCATTAGCAAAGGTCTCAGCCATCTCCAAGTAGTCAGAATGGGGCCCCATCTGGTCTGCTTCTGTTCTTTCTCTTCGGCAAGTGTGTCATCTCTTGTGAGAGCTCTTTCTGGAAATGGGAACCCAGCCAGACATGTAGGATCGGGTGGGGTTAGAGGGAAGTCAGCATGGCACAGTGGACAGAGCCTGGGCTTTGGGGTCTGCCAGACCTGGGCTTAAGTCTAGCCCTTGTCGTTTGCAGGCTGTGTGACCCTGGGCAAGTCACTCTCTGTGCCTCAGTTGTCTCCTCTGTAAACGGGACTTATCACACGTGCATTATGGGCTTGCTGTGAAGATAAGCAGTGACGTATGTGTGGTACAAATGGCTCCATTTTGGTTCTAAGATAGGCAGGGCAAAAATCATGCGGCCAAAATTACCCTTGCAAATGCCTTTGTATTAGGGTAACCTAGGCCGTGCTGCAGTAACAAGCCATAGACTCTTGGGAAATGAAGGGTTTATTTCTCACTTGTGTATTTCCCAGTGAGTGTCAGGCACCTGCAGGGTCATTGTCTTCTGTGCACCAGCTGAGAAATCCAGACTGTTCTAGTCTTACAACATCACCTCTCAAGGGCTGCCTTCTAGGTTACTGTAATAGGGGCAGGGGAAATGGGGGTGACTCACACCCACTTTTAAGTGTCTCAAACCAAAAATGGTGCAAGTCAGTTCCACTTACAGCCTGTTGGCCAGAATTAGCCCCATGGCCCCAGCCAAACCACAAAGGAGCTGGGGAGTGTAGGAATTTGTAAGGAAGAGAAGCGTCTCTCCCTGTGGTAATTTCTGTGGTTCCTGAGTTTTGGGTAGTGAGATGGCAAGACGGGGGCATCGGGTTTCTGAGTTTGCATTGGGTGAGGACTGCTTGTATCTGGGGGGTAGCCATTTCTGCTGTACCCTACAGCCAGGCATAGGTGAATGTGCAGATGAAACATCCCAGCACTGCCAGCTTGCCGCCCAGGTTGCTGTCCCTGATTGAAATCATCACCTTGCATTAGGGACCTTGAAGTGTGAAGATGCTCAGCAAAAAGAAGCTGGTGAGGTGGTTACTGTTAGGATGAGAAGTGTTGGGACCAGCCAGGTGGGGTGTCAGTTTTCAATGAGAGCTGCACTTTAGTCTGGGTCTGACCCTGGCTATTAAGATCCCGGGTCAGAGCCTAAGCAGGTCTCCTGGGGTGTGGGTCAGGATGGCAGCCGGATGCTCTGGAGCAATCTGGGGCCTCGGTAAAAGTTCAGTCACTTTATGGAGAAGAGGCGGGGTGCAGCTTTAACCCTGAAGAGGGCAGAGCCAGAAGTGGGGACCTGCTCACCGGGTAAGTGCTCCGGTACAACGGAGGGAGGAAGGGGCAGTAAGTTTTCTGCGTACCTCCTGTGCCCCGGGCCCTGGACACAGCCTTAGCATTGCTTTCCTGGGAGGGGCTTCCCCAGCCTGGAGAGGAATGAGGAGTTGGACCTGCTGCTGCCTGAGGGGGAGCTGCTTGTCTGATCTTCATGCTCACACCCTCTATCGGGTCCCTACATCAAACGCATACAACATATTCAGTTGATTTCCAAGAAACGTCCAGAATCCGACCATTTCTCACCCTCCCATTGCTGCCACGCCGGTCCCAGCCACATGATCTCCCTCAGATCCCAACGACGGCCAACTCTGTGGTCTCCCTGCTTGTGCCCCTGGCCACTACCTCAGTTCAGTCTGTTCTCGGCCTGACAGCCATAGCCACCCTGTAAACACAGATCGTGCCGCAATTCTGGCACAGCCCCCCTGTGGTCCCCATCTCAGGGTAGCAGCCAGCCTGGCCTCAAGGCCCTACCCAAGCTGGCTTCCTGCGACCTCTGCCCTCAGCTCCCTCTGGCCACAGCTCAGGCCTCTCCAGCCGCTGCTGCTGTTCTTCAACATGCTGGGTGCAGCCCTACCCTCGGGGTCCTCCCTGTCCCCCCCACGTCAGCATGGCTTGCTCCCTCCCTACTGCTTTTGATGGCAGCTCCTGGAGAGCAGGGGTTTAATCTGTGTGTTCCTTGATGAATGCTCACGGTGGGCACAGGGCACGACTCAATGACCAGGTTTTTTAATCCATGCCTGAGTCGTCTGCTGGGTCCTAGGCCAAACATGAAGTCACTCTAGAACTTGCCTTTCAGCTGTGGTTTCTTCACTGGTACAAGTGAACTGTATCCACCTGGCCAGGTGGTTGTGAAGATGGAAACCGACTGGGGTAGAGCACCTGGCACCATGCATGGCCCTCAGGACATCATACGTGGTGATGGCTGTTCATTCATTTGTTCATCCATCTATCCATCCACCCACCTACTTACACATCCACTCAATCACACAGGTGGCTTGCACTGAACTCTCCTACGTGCTATGCACTGGGCTAGGTGCTGGGAAAAACACAGTGAACACACATGAAATCCTCAAGAAGGAGCCCTTTCCTCCCCCTGGTGGGATGCAGGTATGAGAATGGAATTCAGCTCTGCCCAGTGAGCTGATGTTCAGAACCAAAACACGTGGGAGCCAGACTGGGTTCAGATCCCTACTTACGCCGCTTTTTCATCTGTAAAAGGGGCCAGATGAAAGTACCTTCCTCATCCAAGCATCCTAGTTAGGTGTGGAAGGACAGCCCTCTCCTCCTCCTGTTGTAAGGATTGACTTGGCTGTGGCAGGAATCAGAGCAGGGCTTCATGAGTGTTTGCAGTGACGAGTGGTGACACAGGGGGTAAAGGACCTATTGAGATGTACTGACCAAGGGAGGCCTTCCTGCACCTGGCTGTCCCCCTGAGCCCATGACGGGCATTAGTGGCTTGGATGGCCCTGCAGCCCAGTCTCCAAGGAGCCGTGGGGGTCCGATAGCAGCCTTGTTGGCGGGCTTTTGCGGGCACTGCCTCCTGTGGCCCACACTCTGCTCCATGAAGGAGGCTGTCATGGCCCTGGAATGACCCCAAGGAAGTTCTCCTGACCCTGCCAGGATGTCAGGTGGCTGGCTCAGCTCCAAGCAGAGAAATGACAAGTGCTGTGCCTGGGCCCTTCCCGGCTTCAGATTTGGACAGACACTCCCACGTGTTGTCTTGGGCTGTGGGGTTAGACCCAGGAGCAGATCCCTTGTCTGACACTTACTAGCTGGGTGACCCTGGCAGTTTGTGTCTCCGAGAGTCCATTTAGTCATCTACAGAATGGAGCTAGTAAGTGCTAGTAACGGTGGGGCCAGCGCTTTGTAAGCACAACTGCAGGCAGGCAACAGATGCAAACCCCTTACCCCATTTGAAGGCACCAAAATGAGCTGTTGGCCACATCTTGGCAAAAAGAGGTAGAAGCTGCAATTAGATTTAGATTTAGATTAGCTGGGCTGAAAACCTCATGTTGGATGGGCCGTCAGAATGTCCCTGTGTCCTGGCAAGCAGGTGTCCACCCACCCCTCCTCACACACCAACACAGCTGTGACCCAAGTACTGGTGGCTTATTGATGGCAGTGGGTCAGGTTAGTCCAGTGACTCAACTGGGTGACCTGACCCTCCAGAGGACATGTCACAACTGGAGGTGAGGATCCTATTGGCATACAGTGGGTAGAGGCTGGGGATGCTGCTAAGCCTCCTACAAGCACACAGGACGGCCCCCCTATGACAAAGACTTGCCCACTCCACGTGTCAGTAGTGATGCATTTAGAACATCCTGGTGTGTACGGCTTTCTCTGCTGCCTCAAGAGGTCCTTGGACACAGTACTGATCAAAACTGCACATTTATTGAGCACGTACTTGGTAGCCAGCTCAGCTCTGAACGCGTCTTGTGTATTAACTTGATCCCACTAGCAATGCTGTGAGGTCAGGGAAGGACCCTGGGCTGGCATAAGGTTTTGATCCAGATCCTGTGTCATTCCTCCCTTTACAGATAGGTCTGTATGACCTCAGGCCTGGCTGTTTTACACCTTTCTAAAGGACTCCCCTTTCCTGGGAGGACTGTATTGGAATTGCGACTGCTGGTGGGACAAACCCGTGCATTGCCCCACACGAAGGCAAGTGCTGGGCTCTCACCACCCTGCCCTCTGACTTCCAACAGCGTCTCCCACATGGCTGCCTCAGTGGCAAAGGGTGACTGGAAACTCCCTGAGTGTTCCGGCTGCTGCTCGGACACCACCCCCAAGGGGCTGCAGTTTGGTCTTCAATGAATGTATGAAATCTGCCAAGCCCTGGGCACCAGCAGGGGGTCTGGGAGCCCTGGGTCCTCAGATCCCATTTGGGACTGAGTGCATGCTGTTTGTGTGCTTGTGCCCTGAGAGGGCCCAGGCCTGTTGTGGGCTGTGGGTTGTGTATTGGTTCCGACAAACCACTCCTTGGAGCAGCAGGAGGCATGGCATCTCAGTCCAGGCTGTGCGTTGGAATCACAGAGAGTGCGCTAAAAATATATACCAAGTGGAGAACAGTAGGGAGGGGGGGACACGGGAGGGAGGTGGGTGTGGTTACAAAATGGCAACGTGAGGGGTCCTTGTGATGGAAGTGTTTAGCATCCTGATGCAGGAACCTATATGTATACAGAAGAAAACACACGCATAATGAGTACAGGTAAAATGGGAAATCTGAAGCAGACTGGTGGATTGTACCAATGTCAGTATGCTGGTTGTGCATTGTACTATCATTTTTCAAGATACGCTAATTACTGGGGAAAACTGAGTCAAGGGTAGACTGGAATTCTCTACCCAGATTTCTTAAAACTGCTTGGCAATCTACAGTCATCTCAAAATGAAAGGGTTAATTTGTAAAAGGTACACACCATTGTTGCAGCCCCAGTCCCAAGGATTCTGATTTCATGGGTGTGAGGTGGAGCCAGGCAGGGGCAGGTTTCTGAGGTCTCCGGGGAGTCCAGTGGGCAGCCAGGGTGGAAAGCTGCTGTCAGTTTTGGCTCCGGGGTGGACAGGACTGGTTGAGCCCTGATCAGGCTGACCTGTAGGTTGCTGTGTCCTGGGTCTGTGAGCATTGAGCGCTTACTCTGCCGTTTTCTTCCCAGAGAGCACAGAAGGGTCTACACTCAACACCGTGGGGCCACTGATGACCCCTGGTCACGTGCATCTCCAGGCATGGCAGTCTCTCTGGGCTGGCATGGTGTGGGGAGCGTTGAGGGGCCTGGCTCAGACCAGGCCTGACTCCTGCGCCAGCCTGTAGAATAGGCCCTTCTGGGCCAACAGCTGGGCTGGGCTGCCGCTCTCTGCCACCTGCCCCTTGTCCATGACCAGCACCCTGCAGGGGAAAGGGGAGGCGGGCAGCTGTTTGGACACCAGCCCAGGTACTCAGCCATTCTGAATACCCAGTGTCTCTGCCCTGAGCAAATCTGGCCTTTATGCAGTTCCCTGACCCAGACAGCCAGGCTGGACGTATCTGCTGGGAAGCGTCTTGGGCTCATCCCTCCCCTCAGGACATCAGTTTTGCCAGCTGTACAATGGGCACTTGATCCCTCCCATGCCCTTCCATCTCTAAACCCTGATGCCTTCCTCCACCACTGTGGGGGTGCCTGGGGGCTGGCTCAGGGAGGCGGCCTTACCTGGCACAGTCCATCACGGAGCGCAGGCGGTGGGCGATGAGCAGCACTGTACACTGCGCAAACCAGCTCCTCAGGGCGGCCTGCATCTGCAGCTCTGTCCCCGGGTCCACGGCGGCTGTGGCCTCATCCAGGATCAGGATCTGGGTTTTCCGGAGGAGGGCACGTGCCAGACACAGGAGCTGCTTCTGGCCCACACTGGGAATGAGTGTGAGTGTCAGGCCAGGTGTTTTGTCTGCCTGCACTTCAGGATTTGCAGGACATGCCCACAAATGGGACCCTACAACAGTCCCACAGTCATATCTGTGGGTCCCCAGTCTACAGAGCTGGTAGGGATCTCCATTCTACCATTTTTGAGGCAAGTCATTCAAACCCGTGTGTCTCAGTTTCCCCACCTGTGAAATGACTATTTCTATTTCTATTCTACGGTCTCCACCTTGTGCCGGACACATCGTAACTGCTTGTGCATATATAGTGTCAGTTCTCATAGTGACCACAAGGGTAGGGACCGTACTAACGACTCCTTTGTCACTGGGTTGGGAGGGTGAAATAAGCCATGTGGATGTGCTCAGTGGCGTGCTTGTTATGGGGTAACTGCTCAGCATGCAGCAGATTCTCTGACTGTAATTACTGATGGGAAAGCTGAGGGCCGAGGTCAGTCAGTCAGGGAGACCCCTGACCCTGGAGACCCAAGGGCATCTGGGGCCTTTTCCTGCCGTGTGCTGCCTCCTCACAGAGTAAATCCTTCCATAAAGCAGCCTCTCTTTAGAGAAGCAAACTGACTATAGCCCTGTGTCCTGTGAACTGGGTGACCCTGGACAAGCCTCAAGCCTCAGATGCCAACTCTGTGAAACGGGATTAGCGAGAGTGCCCCTCAAGGATTAACAATGAATAATATTGTTCACTATTTCCAGGCTGTGTCTCGACAAGTTTACATGTATAACTCACTACATCCTCGTCCAGGTAGGTAAGTATGAATCATTACTTCCATGTTATAGATGAGGAAACCAAAGCACAGGAATTTAAGTAACTTGCCAAGGTCCTACAGCTGCTAAGTAGGGGACCCTGGGTTTGAAGCCTGTCTACGCTCTCAGCCACCAGGCTGCCCTGCCCTTCCAGTGCATGGAAACCATTACCAATCTCAGCCCCTCATCTAATACCTTCAGGATTAGATAGGTTTAAGAATTCAGAACATCTTGATTTTTAAACAAACCCCACACCTGTACCCCTATGTTCTTGCAGCACTATGCATGATAGCTAAAAGGTGAATGTAATCCAAGTGTCTGTCAGTGGATGAATGGGTAAGAGAAATGTGGCATAGCCACCCAGTGGAATATTATTCAATTTTATAAAGGAAGGAAATTCTGGCACATGTTACACCATGGGTGAACCTGAAGGACATCACCCTCAGTGAAAAAGGCAGGTCATAAAAAGCCTAACACTTGTGATTCCACTGAAATGAAGGACGTAGTCAAATTCATAGAAACAGGAAGTAGTGATGGCTGCCAGGGGCAGGCGGAGGTGGAAACAGAATTGTTGTTCATGGACACAGAGTTTCAGTTTTGCAGATGAAGAAGTTCCAGAGATGGGTTCACAAGGATGTGAATGTGTTCAGCACTACTGAAGTGTGCAGTAAAAAAATGGGTGAGATGGCAAATTTCATGTGATATGTATTTTACCTCAATTTAAAAATTTCTTTATAGAAATTTTAGGGGTTTATAGAAATAATAGGATGGGATTGATGATCCTATGGGGAGGAGATTTCCAGGGTCTGTTACGCAGGGGGGAGGGTAGCCTTGGCCACACCTACCTCTCCTCCCAGCCGTCCCGGCTGTGGTGGGGGACCCTACCTCAGCTCGTCACCTTGGCTGGCATACTCGTAATGCAGCTGGCCGGGCAGGCTGGCCACGAGGGCTCTGAGTTGCACTGTCTCCAGGGCTGCCCAGATGGCTTCATCCGTGTGCTCATGCAGCATGTCGAGGTTCATCCGCAGAGAGCCAGGGAACAGGATGGGGTCCTGCCAGGAGGGGTAGCGGGTCAGAACCAGGCCTAGCCACGCCTCCCAGTCTGCCCACCTGCTCTGCAAGCCTCACCTGGGGGATGATGGTGATCCTGGACCGCAGCATGTGCAGCCCCACATCAGCAATGGGGACACCATCGATCCAGACCCCGCCCTCAGCTGCCTCCCGGAGCCGCAGCAGGCCCCCAGCCAGGGAGGACTTCCCAGCCCCTGTCCTGCCGGCAATGCCCACCTGCCAGGGGATAGGAGGGCCGGGCTCGTTCTGATCAGGCAGACCATAGCCTGAGGGCTCCTGGGCATCTCTTTGCGAGAGGTTCCCCCTGCACCCAAGATCTGTCAGCCATCCATCATCCTTTGAGCACCCATCCTTCCATCTGTCCACCTTGGGATACACCCATCCATCAATCCATCCAACCTTATGTCTGTGCATCTTCCCTACCTTCCCTTTATCCTGACATGTTTCATCTTTCCATCCACTCCCTGGCTCTTCCATCTATACCTCTGCCCTACCTTCTATTACTGCATCCTTCCATCCACACCCCTCCATCATTCCTCGTACCTCCTTCCGTCCCCACATCATTCTATTCATGTCCCATACTACCAGCCTCACCATCCAGGGAGCTCTCATCCTTTTTGTACTGCTTCCTATACAGCCAGCCAGCACCCCCATCCCAGCTATCCATCCTTCATGCTTCTACCCGTCTGTCCATCTTTTACCCATCCCCGATTCTTCTCACTGTTGCATTCTCAGTGTCTGACATATGGTGGGCGTTCAACACTCTCTGTTTAATAAATGAACAAAACATGTGTCACCCGTTGTATGACAGATACTCTTTTAGGCACTAGGAATACAGAAATGAAAGAGTTCTTGCTCAAAAGGGCTCACCGTCTGGTCTTGAAATAGTGCAATTGAGGAAACTTAATTTGATTACAGTGTGATGAATACGTATTCTACCATTAAGCTCCAGAGCTGTAGCAATGGAGGTGAGCAAGGGGGCGCTGTTCATGCTGCCTGGAATGGGGGTTGATGGAGTAATCAGAGAAGGCTTTGTGGAGGAGAGGATACTTGAGTGGACTCTTAAAGGGTGAGGAGGAATTTGCAGAGAAGGGGGATTCCGTGTAAACCACACCAAGGGCTAGACTGTGAACTCCCTGGGGGCAGCACTGTGTGCCCACTGGCCAGAAGCAGCTGCTCCACAGATGCTGGCTAAGCCCTGGCAAGGCAATGAATGAAGTGGAGAGCTGGGCAGGGCCTTGAATGCCAAGTGCAGGAGTTTGGGCTTTACCCTGAGGGAAGCTGGGAGCAGGTGGAAGGTCTGCTGCAAGGGAATGACATGCTCAAGTAAAGGTCACCGGAGAACACTTGGAGGTAGTGAAATAGGAGGCTGGGGGCTCGGCTGGAGGACTGGAGCAGTCAGGGAAGGCCCCCAGTCAAGGAAGTCAAGGAGGGCAGGAAGGAAGTGTCGCTGGGTGGGGAAAAAGGAGGAGTTAATAAAGGGATTTGACTAGGCATCTGTGAAATGGGTCATACTAGCCCCTTCCTCATACGGCTACTGAAAGAGCAAAAGGGCACATCAGAATTAATAAAAGCACTGGAAATATTTCTGTAGCACTTGCTATGTTCCAGGCACAGTTCTAGGCAGCTTTATATGTAACTCAGTTAAACTTCACAACTCTATGAGGTTGACATTATTATTTCCATTTTACAGCTGGAAAAACTGTGACCAAGACAGAATTGACTTGCCCAAGGCAAAGCCAGGAACTGAGCCCATGCAAACTGGATAACATATGTGGAGCATTCAGCACTTGGCTGGACATAGTAGGTGCCCAACTAATGCTGGCTCTCCTGGGATACCAAGGTGGGTTTTACTATGGGGTTTGAGGATGATGATAGGTTCTATTTAGGGCATGGTGGCCCGAAGACATGAGGACGTGAGGTGGGGTTGTGGAGGAAGCAGCTGACACTCAGGGCCTGAGCTCTGGGTGATGCCCAGCCTCACCATGGCCCTGAGGCCTCTCCAGCCACCCTTGGCCTGGCCTCCACGAGGAGGTAATTAGGGGAAAGCTACTCACCTTCTCTCCTGCGTGGATCCTGAAGGACACACCCCGCACAGCTAGTGGAAGCTCGGGTCGGTATCGGAGCCCAAAGTCCCGGAACTCGATCTGCCCCCTGTGAGGCCAGGGTGGCAGGGCTGCACAGGTGGGCAGCCTCCAGGGTGCCTGTGGCAGGAGGGGACACTGGGTTAGAGGAGTCTTTCTCCCAGTCATGGCCCCTCTTTGAGCTTCAGTTTCCTCTTCTGTAAAATGCACATATTTACTGCTTTCGTACAGGGTTGCTAAGGGGTGTGGGAGACAGCAAAGCTAAAAACATATCTGGTATCATAAAAATAATGATGGTTTTGGCTACTGTATCCTTTATCATTATTTTATTAGTCACTGTTGATTGTCAAATAATATTCCCTCTTCCTTTAGTAGAGGTAGACATTCTGCTTTGTCTTTGTGAAGAGGGAGGATTGAGCAGTAGGGAGCCCAATGCTGCCATTTGCTATTCCTGTGACCTTGAACAGGTCATCCCACCCCTTGACTCCTGGTTTCCCCATCTGTGAAATGGGGCTAGTAAGAGCAGTGGACGTGTATTGAGTGTTTACCAGTGCCAGATACTACTGAGTCCCTTACTGTGCCATCTCATTTGCCCCCCGCCCCACCCTGCCCCCACTGTACCCAGTACTGTCATGTTACTGTGTTGCTCTTGGGTCTGTAATGTTGCTGTTAGGTTGCTATCATGTTGCATTTACATTGCAGTTGTATCACTGTTACTCACGGTCCCCTGTCACTCAGAAGAATGACCTGCTTTGCCCAAGGGAAGCCCAAAAACCAGGATTTGACCTGGCTCCAGACCCCGCAGTCTTAACCACTGCTGCTGCCCTGGCTGTGCCGCTGGCCTCCAGTGGGGGCCCCAAAGCTGATAGCAGGTGCTGCCCGGGTCCACCGCCGTCTGCAGTTGAGTCCCAGATGGGGCACAACCCCCACCCGTCTCCCACCTATCACCTCCTTGGGTGTCCGGGCATAGTCCTTCATCCGCTCTACCGACACGATGCTGCTTTCCAAGTCTGTCCAGCTGCGAACAGCCCACTGCAGCGTCTGGGTCACCTGGTGCGGGAAGACATGAGCCTGGCTGAAGCCAGCCAGAGGCAGGGCCCAGGAGGCAGGACCTGGGACAGACCCGGATGGCATTTGGCTTCAAGCCCCCGGGACCCCTAAGAGAACCAGAGTATCCAGAGCAGAAAGGAGCTTGTCCAGCTCGTCTTGATACGGGTGGGGAGTCAGGACAGGAGAGGGCGTGTGGCCTCCCCAGGGACACCCAGCAGGACGCTGGCCCATGGGCTTCCACTCTGAAGCTTTCCCTCTGGATGTCCCATCACACTAGAAACCACACGGATGGTCAGCAGGGCCCACGCCCTGCCTGCTCCGCCCTCCCTCCTCTCCCAGCCTCCTTTCCCTCCAGGATCACCCTGGCCGCACTGCCCAGCCTCACACCTCCTTGCCGCTCCTCTAGCGCACCAGGGGCACCTGCCCCCCAGCCCAGGGCCTTCATCCTGCCTTCCCTGCACCCGGGATGGTCCCCACCTCCCCCTCCTCCCTCCCCCTCCCTCCCTTCAGGACTTGGCTTACAAGCCCCCTCCTCCGACAGGCCTTCCCAGATTTGTGATAGAAAAATACTCTCCCCCCAGTCCTGCTCCATCCTCTTACCTTGCTCTAGCCTTAGCTTACTTGCCTCAGTGTAAACTGAGGATAATAATAGTAGCTCTGAAAGGGTTGTGGGCAGGATTAAATGAGTTAATAGTTACAAAACTCTTAGAGCAATGGCTCATTCCTAATCAGTGCTACTACTTACAAATGATCTCTTCCTTCAGTGATGTCATGGCCTGACATTAAATCATGTTACTAACACTTAATAAAAAGCTAACAGTGCACTGGAAATGCCCCCTATGTACTTTCTCTCAGCTCTGTCTTGATAACACCTGAAGTGAAGGGATCATCGCCTGTTTTCCAGATGAGCACATTTAGGCTCCAGGAGGGGAGACTGGCCCCAGGTCCAGCAAGGAGCAAAGTCACCTCTTGTAGAACCGTATTTTCCTCACTGTTGGACTTGGGTCCTTGAAGGTCCCACTGGCAGGGGCCTGTCTGTCTCTATTCCACCTGCACCCAGAGCCCAGCTTGTGGGTGTTAGCAGTACCTGGAGGGCGGCAGAGACAGAGAAGCCCACGAGGCCGGCGCTGAGGTGCGCCTTGCTCAGCACAGCGCACATGGCAGCTACGAACACCAGCCCGTTCCCCAGGAGCTCCAGGTTGGCCGCGAGCCACCTGCAAGGGGAGGCAGGTAACAGCAGGGCTAGCCGGGCCCTCTCGGTGGGACCTGCTTCTCTGGGTACAAGAACGGGTCATCATTCCAGCTCAGGTACCCGCGGGGGTCCCAGCAATGGCCCTCTCCACACCCCGGACCCCACCCAAGCTCAGTGGGGGTGGGAAGCTGACACTGCCCTGTCTCATCTCAGCCCAGCTCTGGGCCTGGCAGTACAGTAAGTGCTTACGTGAAGCTTTGCCAGGCTGCCAATTTTATGTCCTGGGTTAGGCCAAGCCATATCCTCTTGTGTTCCCTCCACCCAGACCCAACCTGCATCTTTACATGGCCAACATCTTATATCTTTGTGTTCAAGTCACCTTGAACTTCACCTACTCAAAGAGCCTTCCCAGACTGCTCCTTGCCTTGTCTCCAGCACGTCACTGGTAGCATCGTTCATAACAGTTATCACTCTTTATAATCAAACTATTTAAGCAGTCCTTGACTGTCCATCTCCATCACAGGAGTGTGATGTCCATGCGGGCAGCTCTGGCTCTGGCCCTGCCCCCCAGTACCGAGCCCAGGAACCCAGCACATAGTATGTGCTAAACAAATACATACTGAGCCGATGAATAAATATACACCCCCTTTTACTGAATTCCTACTCTACTATGAACCACACAAAAAAACAGATAAAATTCCCTGACTTCAGAGAGCTTCATCACCTATAAAACAGTCTCTGCCTTCTGGGTTGTTAGGATTAAGTAAATTAATCCATGTAGAGTGCTCTGAAATGTTGTGCTGCACATGTAGTAGTAGGCATAGTGCATGTATTAGCTATGAATTTAGTTATTTAATCCTCATAGCCACACCATGAGCTCAATCCCACTATGACTTATGTAGCTTGGCCAAGATCACTTAGCTAGCAAATTGCAGATCTGGGATTTGAACCCATGCCTGTCTGTGCTCAAAGCTTGTGTTCTTATTCTTGCTTTGTGCTGAAAGAAGGCTGAGGATGCAGACATAGCTGCTTTGTCACCAAGGCAACAGGGACTGACCCAGTGGCCTGGTTCCTTTTGCTGACATCTGTACTTCCTGCCCACCTTCTGTTTGGGACCCTGCAGACCAGGTTTCATCTGCTCAGAGTGTGAGCCAAGAGTGCCCAGGGGGTGTAGCCTGGGCAGGCCACCTAACCTCTCTGGCTGCACGGTATGACCTTAGGTCTCACTCTCTGGGATACAGATGGGTTACAGGGTCTTCTCTGCCCCCTTCCTACCTATCAGCCACCAGCCGTGGGAAACTGGCTCTCTGTCTTTCATCCATATACGCATCATTCTGAGCCACAAACGGGTCCTGGGCCCGGAAGGCCCTGACCACTGCACTGCCCTGGAACGTCTCAGCCACGTGGGAACACACGAACGAGTGCCTGGCTGACTCCAAGCGTTTGAGCTGGCATGAGCTGGCCACGTACAGGCTCTGAAGGGAGAAATCACAGACACAGACAGGTAGTTTGAGAAGCATAGGGAACCCCAAGCACAGGCACCCAGACCTGGCTCTGTTATCAGCTTGCTGGGTGACCTTGGGGCAGTTGCTTCCTCTCTCTGGGCTCTAATTTCTTTGCAGAATCAGAGTCCCATGGTTCTTTTTCAAATCACCTGGGAAGCTTCAAGACCTCCAATGCCCCACTGCAGAACTGTGGAACCAGAACCTCTGATGGTGTTACCTTGGGCTTGGTATTTTTAAAAATCCTTTTGGGTAATTCTATTGTACAGCCAGGATTAAGAAACCACTATTCTAATGTAAATATTTCATTCCCGGCTCTAAGGCCAACTGCTTCACTTAGGGCTAACTGTAAAGGACAAAGCAGGCAGTTGGCCAAGTTGAACTCATTCATTTAACTCAAGGGTTACATGCCAGGTGCTGTGAACATAATGGTACAAAAATAATACGTGTTTTATTTGGTTTGAGGTTGCAAATTACATTTGCTAAATATCCAGGCAGTGTGCCAGGCTCTTTTTAAACAATATTCAGTAATTTTGAAGTGGATATTAGTGTCATTCACAGGTGACAATACCCAAGACTTAGAGGGATTAAGCAACTGGTCCAAGCCTCTATAACAAGTGGCAGGGCCTGGATTCAAACCCACTTTTCTCTGACTCCAAAGCTCTCAACAGAGAAGTAGTTCCTCTCCCAAGTCAAGAGGACACAGAGAAGACCTAGGATAGCTGTGGAAGACAGGGGTGGCCATGGTTTTTGTCTGACTACCATATTTTTTGCTACTCTATTTCTGATTTCTGGGGGCATTGGGAGTAGGGAATGTCGATTGTGGGACTGATTATGGAAGTGGTCGCATGACACAGCCTAGCAGTCAGAGTATACTATCCTTCGGTCATTATGATTGGCTCCTGGATGAACACATGCTCCATAAATGGCCAATCAAAATCTTCCCTGGTATTGATATATGAATGCTGAGCTGGAAAAAAGATTTCTTTGTGTTCAGTTGCTAAGATGGGATGCTGTATGTGTGTAGGGTTACCAGGGGCCATCAGATTTGCTCCCTGGAAAGAGAATGTGTGCAAAATTAGGCCAAGCAGAGCTAAGCAGAGCAAGTCAGTGGTCTTAAACATTAGTGTTCATCAAAATTACCTGTTAAAGCCCAGAGGATTTGTTAAAGCCCAGATTTCTGGGCCCCACTTACATAGTGTCTGAGTCCATATGTCCAAGAATGTGCATTTCTAATTAGTTCCCAGGGCACCCTGATGCTGCCAGTCTGGGACTATGAGAACCACTGAGAGACGATATGAAAAGTGACAGTGTACTGGTGACAGCGGGCCCACTGCATCCTAGAAACATAAGCCATTAATTCTGCTCTTTTGTTTAAGCTAATTTAAGTTGGTCCCTGGCCCTGGAAACTAAAAGTGCCTAGCCTAATACAGCAGTCTTTGAGACCTTGCAATGCCTCTCGATTTCCAGAAAATTAGAGAGGAGGAAGCTGATTTCAGCAGCAGGGCAAAATGTTAGGTAGTAAGAACTCTGATGTGAACATTTAGGGGACAGAGACAAACACAGGTGTTAGAAACAGACTGTGGCATCTCTGCCTCTGGGAATTTTCTAGGAGTGGCCCCCAGATGCCCAGCTGAACAGAACCTCTTACACTAAGTCCAACCCACAGACAGGACTGGCTGAGGTGGCGTCAGCTGGCCCCAGGAGCCTCCCCAACCTCTCCCTACCTGAAACCCAGCGTAGAGGAGCAGCAGTGGTAAGAGAGCCACGACAGCCAGCGGGGTGACCACTGTCACCACCAGGCTGACTTCCAGAAGTCCAAAGGCATAAATCAGCAAGGACCGGAGTTTGTCGGGGATGTCCACATCTACTATGTCTGTCTCCTTGGAAAAGCGGTTCAGCAGGTTCCCGATGGGCGTCTGCTCAAAGAAGCCAATGGGAGACCGCGCCACATCCCACAGGAGCTGCCGGAAGAGCATGCTGGACCCCCGGATCCCCCCTAGGAGCACTGTGGCCATGGAGGCAAACAGCCCAACAGCTGGGGAGAGAGGGTGTCAGAGCATGAGAGCTGGGGAGGCCCTACTACCCCACAGTGGCCATCTTTATGACTTGGCCACCCCGATTATCCCTGATGGATCCATTCTGTAGTGGATTGAATGGTGTCCCCTGCTGTTCCCAAATTCATGTCCACTAGGAGCATCAGAATGGGACCTTATTTGGAAATAGGGGTTTTGCAGACGTTATTGGTGAAAGATGTTGAGATTAAATCATCTTGGATTTAGGATGGGTTCTAAATCCAATGACTAGTGTTCTTATAAAAAGAGAAGACATGTAGAGACACAGAGAAGGTGATGTGAAGACTGGGGAGATGCATCACAGCCAAGGAATGCCTGGATTGGATTGCCGGCAACCAGCGGAAGCTGGGAGGGAAGTGTGAGATGGTTTTTCCTTCAGCGTCTCCAAGAGGTACCAATCCTGCTGACACCTTGAGTTTGGACTTCTGGCTTCAGAACCACGAGAATAACTTTATGTTGTTCTAAGCTACCAAGTTTGTGGCAATTAGTCTTACGGCTGCCCTAGGAAACTAATATGCCCCCTTCCTCCCAGTGTGAATCTCTGTGCTTGGAATGGAGCTAGCTTCACTCCCTGTGCATGGGGAGCAGCAAATTTCATCCCCGGCCTGTCCAAACCACTGCAGTTGGTTTGGGGATGAACACATGGCCCAAACCAGGCCAATGAGAATGAGAGCTGGGACTTAACTAGACCTTTTGGGAAAGAGGGGCTTGCTTTTTTTTGAGGTGGTCAAGCTAGAGCCGTGGGATACCATCTTACGACGAGGAGAAGAAGCCTGCCTGGACAGGAAGCTGTCACAGAGGAAGACAGACACTCCGACAGCCTCACTGGGATCCTTGGATCCAGCCATACCTGAAGCTACCTGTGGATTCCAGTTGCATAAGTGAAGAAATTCTCCTGTGGCTTCAACTAGTTTGAGATAAAATCATTATAGTGGTATAGTTAGCCCTATGTTAATTTCAAATAGAGGAGACTTCAGAGTAAGGAAAGTTATCAGGGATGAAAAAGGGTGTCACATAATGATAAAGGAGTCAGTTCTGAGAAGACCTAACAATCCTTCATGTGTACGCATGTAACAACCAGGCATCAAAATATGTGAGGCAAAAAGTGATAGAATGGAAAGAGGAAACAGATGAATGGACCATCACAATTGGAACCTATATAGACAGACAGAACACCCCTCTGTCAGAAATGGGCAAGTCCAGCAGGCAGAAAATCAAGAAGGACGTAACTGAACACAACACCATCATCAATGGGATATAATGGACATCAAGAGACTACTTCATCCAACAGCAAGAGAATACGAATTCTTCTCAAGCTCATATGGAACCAAGACCACATTTTGGTCCCCAAAACACACCTTAACAAACTTAAAAGAAGAGAAATCCTACAATGCCTGTGTGAGACCACAGTGGAATTAAATGAGAAATAACAGGATAACTAGAAAATCCTCAAATACTTGGAGAGGAAACACTACACCAAATAATACACGGGTCAAGGAAGACATTTCAAGAGGAACTTTAAGATATTTTGACCTAAGTGAAAATGAAAACACAATGTAGTAATATTTGTGTGAAAGTTGTGCTTAGAGAGAAATATACAGCATTGAGTGCATATATGAGGAAAAGAGAAACGTCTAAAATCAACCACCTAGCTTTCACCTTAAGAAATTAGAAAACAAAGAGCAGATTAAATCCAAAGTAAGCAGAAGAAAAGACACAATAAAAATTAGAGTAGAAAACAATGAAAATAAAAACAGGAAATCCATGGAAACAAATCAGTGAAACCAAAACCTGGTTCTCTGAAAAGATCAATAAAATTGATACGCCTCTAGCAAGGATAAGAAAAAAAGAGAGACCACACAAATTACTAATATCAGAAATAAAGGAAGGCACATCACTACAGATACCACGGACAGTAAAAGGATAAGAGAAGAATACAATGAACAATTCTCTGCCCACAAATTTGATAACCTAGGAGAAACAGACCAATCCCTTGAAAGACACAATCTACTGAAACTCACACCAAAATAGATAATCTGAATATATATTGAAGAAATTGAATCAACAGTTAACAACCTTCCAAAATAGAAAGCACTAGACCCAGATGAGTTCACAGCAGTCTGACCTTGGAGCTGCCCTGCAGGTGGGGGAAGGACACAGTCCAGCTGACCTGCTGCATCAGTCCACACCTGAGCGCTCAGCAGTCAATCATCTGGGTTGGGCTGAGATTCTACATTTGCCACTGAGTCTGGTAGGGACTCTGAGGGTTCAAGAAAAGGTGGGAAGTGCTGTGTCCCTCACTACCCCTAGCCCCATCTTAAGGATGCAGGTCTGTGCTTGGACCCAGGACATTTGCACAGATGTTCAGGAAGGATAGGGTAGGCCAGGGAGCCCTGAGCATCTCAGGTGGGGCTGAGAGGACAGAGGGTGAGGAAGGCCAACAAGGGGTACCTTGGAGGCAGCCCAGGAGCCCGAATACCCAGCCCCGCATGGCTGCCTGCATCTGTCGCCCGTCCACAGTGGGGTCGTCGGCCCACAGGCTCAGCCAGTAGCCACGGCAGAAGGAGGCCACTTGCTGGCAGAGGAAGAGGAAAAGGGCATAGAGGCAGAGGGGGATGCCCACAGCCTGGAGGTAGGTCAGGTACACAGCGGCCTGCACCTGTAGCACATGTAGGGAGAAGGGGCATAGAGAACCCCAGGGGGTGTGGGAGGGAGGATAGGCCAGGTGAGGCCCAGAAGGCATGCCCACGGGGCAGACAGAGCCACCATGCAGACCTCCCAGGGCCTCTGTTGGTACCTCCCACCTGGAGCACCAACCCCCCTATAGGGCCCATCCAGCCTCAGGATCCCTTTTGTCTACAGAGCCCCCCAGGGGCAGTGGGAGCCTTAAAGGTAGCAAGGCTCTCACACTCTCTGGCTTTGGAGTGATTTATTGAACACCTACTATGAGACAGGCCTGTATCTCTATCTTCATTGTGATTCCCATCTGGCAGATAAGGAAACTAAGGCACTAAGAGGTTAAGCCACTTGCTTAAGGTCTGGCTCCTACAAACCTGAAGTTTTCCACACACCTGCAGCCAGAACAAACCACTGAAAACATCTGCCTGACCCCATGTTGCTGTTGCTGACCTGCCCTTGGCTTTCTCTTGCTCTTAGAAGAAATCCCAACCTTCCAGCCCACGTCTCTGACCTTAGCCCCTCTCATTATCTGCCAGTCTCATGGGATCCCTTCCTCTACTGTGGCTCCCTAAGCTCCTCCCAACCTCAAGGCCTTTGCACCTGCTGTTCCCTCACCTGCCTGGAATGCACGTCCCCCTGCTCTTTCTGCATTTGTGCCCTTCAGGGCTCAGCTCAAATGTCACTTCTCTGAACATCTTATCTGAGCAGGCCCCTCACCCTCAGTTGGTCCCCTATCATTGTCCTTTATTTTCTTTATAGCATCTATCTTTATCGGAGAGTACCTGGCTTATTAGCCTAAGTGTTTGCTAACTGTCTTGTCCAACTACAATGCTAATTGTCTTGTCCAACTCCATCAGGTCAGAGACTTTGCCTGGCACAAAGTGGGGCTTCTGTAAATGCTTTCTGGGTGGATGAAGGGCTGATGGTTGGGTTGGGTGGTGGGAATAGGGTGAACAGGTGAGTGAATGGGTAGATGGGTGGATGGATGAATAAATGAGTGGGTGTGTAGGTAGGTGGGCAGATAGATGAGTGGATGGATGGACAGAGGGAGGCACGCACGCATGCATACGTGGGTGGATGGAGGAGGGAATGAGTGGGCAGCTGGGAGAGCTGGATGGATAGGATGGACAGGTGGGCAAATGGGTGGAAAGGTGGGTGGAAGGATGGATGAATGAGCAGGTGAGTGGGTGTATGGGTAGGTGGACGTGTTGACAGAGCAGCAGAGAAGAAACAGTACAAGCCTCAGATCTGGACTGACCTAGACTTGAGTCCCAGGTTGGCCACTTGATAGCTATGAGAACAGAGACAAATCTCTAAACTCACAAAGACCTAAGTTCCTTCATCTCTTAAATAGAGTTGTCATTATCTAATTTTAGGGTGGTTGTGAGCATTGAGAAATGTGAAGTGTCTCAAATCTGACTTGGCACATAGTAGGTGTTCAATAAATGTGAGTCTCTACCCTTGTCCCCAGTGCTGTGGCTGGTGGGAGGTCTTGGGCCAGCTGTGGGTGCAGACTGGAGGAGCAGCTGGTGGTTACCCTGCCATACTGCACACTGTCCTGTCCTGTTGGCCGTCCTGCCCCCTCAGGATCATCTAGGAGAACCCCTCTCTGGGCCTCTGAAGTGGTGCTGTCCTTCTCAGGGACTAACGTCATGGGCCTGTCATTTAAAGGAAATGAGGACAATCAGTGTCTCTGTCCATGAGAGGTGTGTGCCCAACCCTCACTGGTAGCCAATGAGCTCTAGGGTACACTCTCCACTCATCCATTCATTCATTCACTCATTCATTCCATTAACTGAATGCCAACCAGGTGCCATGCTCCCATTCCCACTCTGGGGCACCAGCTAAGTGCCATTTATTACCCCAGAGTTGAGCAAGCCTGTTCCTCTGAGGCCATTTCACTAAATGAACTTATTTTCTCAACTTTGGAACTTGTTTTTCAGAGCTTGCCTTGTGACCTAAGCTTTACGGCAATCACTGGTGCCCCTGCTGTTTCCTCCCAGATCTGTCAGCCCAGCTCGGCAGACTGTCGATTTTGCACATTTCCACTGTTGAAGACTTCCTGTATATTCCTTTCTTCTGTGGATGAGGGGACTGACTTAACCTCAGATGTGAATACACATCTAACTGTGAAACCACAGGCAGCTGATTTAACCTCTCTGTGCCTCAGTGTCCTCCACTGTAAAATGGGAACAATCTATGTCTGTCTGCCTATCATCTATGCATCCATCATCTATCAGTCTATCATCTGTGTCTCTCTATTCATCCACCTATCTGTCTATCATCTACCTGATCTTACTCAGGATTATTATGCAGTCGGAACTCTAGCAGGCTTGCCCAATGTGTGATGCAAGCTCTGGGTGGCTAGCTGGGATGGGGAGGTGCTGTGTCCAACCTTAACTTTCACAAGGAGCCCCTCACGTTCTCCCAGTAGCGCCCCCACCTCCCCTGACAGCTGGCACTTAAGTTCACACAGTACCTGGCACCCAGTGGTCTGTTGTTTTGTTTTACAAGGTCACTTTCCATAAAACATCAAAGCATCAGGGGCGGGGCCCCCTTACTGCAGACAGCCCCACAGTGAGTCCAGCTATGGTCTGGCTAGATGGGCTGGAGGGAAGGGGACAGAGGCCTCCTTCCGGTGACCCCCACTGTGCGCTCTGGCCCGCACCAAGTGATGCCATGAGTGTGGACTCAAGCTGTTTGCACAGCAAGTCTGTGAAAGCATGAGCGACAGGACATTACAAGGTCATTAACAACTGTGGTGAGGATCTTTCTTTGGACCAGCCCCGCCCAACTCTGGCAAAGAGACAGCTCTGCTAACCTGGTAGGTACTCATCACCCGCAGAGGGCAAATTGGTCATTCTGTGACCTGGACATTTCGGGATGTAATCATTTTGGCCAATCGACTGTCAAATAGTCTTTGGTGAATTACCCCACAGCGGAGCCACAGGGCGGGCATTCAGCAGGGGTTCAATGCAGAAGAGCTGGCTGTTCCCACCTGCCTGAGAAGCAAGTGGGGACACGGCGGCCCTGCCTCAGCCTCAGCCTGTGCCCTCCCCACACTCGGCCCCACAGCACACTCACCTCTCCTGTCCACCTGTGGGCCCCCTGCCTCCAGCAGAGCCTCTGAGGTCCTTGGTGCCGCCTGTGGGTGCTGCTTCTGCAAGGTCAAGGGGGTCCTGTCCCACAGTGGGGTCAGTACCTTGGGGTCCGGAGGCCGGCTCTCACACCCACGGGCCACGTGGCTTTAGCTAGTCTGAGCGCCCAGTTCCCCTGAGCCACCTCCTGCAGCCTCTCAGCCCTCTCTGGGTTCCTCCAGCAACAGCGTTTCCTTCAATCACTCATTCCTTCATTTATTCACTCAGCACATATAATCAAGCTCCTCCTATGAACTTGGGGCTGGAAACAGTAGTGAACCTTGTACGAAGCCAGACTGCTCTGGGCTCCCCTGACAGTTCCTTGTGCTCGGAATGCTCTTCTCCGGGCAACCCTCACCCAACCCCAGCGTCATCTGCCCCAGGAAGGACCATCCCCTGGCCATCCCCCAGGCTGCGCAGGTCCCATCTCCAAGGTCCCGGATGGAACCCTGTGAGTCAACACCTGGGCTTCTTGCCAGGGTGGGCCATTGCCCAACAGATGTTTTTCGAAGAGGCAGAGCCTGGGTCTAGGCACTGGGGGCCCCCTGGCTGTGAGCCTGCGCTTTGTCATGGAGGGGCAGTCTATAGCCTAGTGATTAAAAGCCACATGCTCTGGAGTCAAGTTGCTAGGGTTCAAGTCCCAGCACTGCCACACAGAAGCCATGTAAACTCGGGCCGGTTCCTTAACTTCTGAGTCTCAGCTTCCTCCTCTGTAAAATGGAGGCAATTACAGTACTGACCTCCCAGGGACACTGTGACGATGTGCGGAGTTAATGCACATGAGGTGCCTTTACTGTTCTTTCATAGCTCTTTATCGCTCCCTGTGGGTAAGTCTGAGGACTTTGCTTCCCAAACATTGTCATTTTTCCTGCAAGCATTGCATTTTATGGACTGTCAGATGCTCTAGCTAGCCTGTTGTGGGCCTTCTAGCCTCTAGGCACCAAATGATCTTCTTGCTTAGTCTCTGTAGCAGTTATGAGCATGGACTCTGGAGGTGAATACATTTGAGTTCTAATCTTGACCTTGGGCAAATTAACTCCCTTTGCCATGATTTGCTCACCTGTAAAATGGCAGTAATAATTGCACATGCCTCATGGCAGTATTGTGAAGAGCAGTAAGGTAAGTGTGTTTATAGGGGCACTTAGCACAGTGTTTGGCTCGCAGAGGAGCCACGGGCTCTTACTGGGGGATGGGTGGCTTCCTGGGAGAGCTACCTGCCTTCAGGACTGGGTCCACAGGGAGGATGTGGCCAGAGCCTCCACTCCTGCCAGTGGAACCCTTGGAGGCTTCTCCCCAAGGGCAGCAGAGAACCAGCAAAGCCCTGCCCGTACCTCCTCCTCTCTCTTCTGGCTGACTGGCTCGGTCCAGGAGGCCCACCAGGGCCCCCTTCCCACTCAGAAGCTGCTGGTAGGAACCTGTCTCTGCAATGGTCCCATCTTCCAGCACCACGATCCAATCGGCCTGGGGCAGGACGTGCAGCGTGTGGGTCACGAGAATCCGTGTCTGGGTGGGAAGAGGTGGAAGTTACACTCCTGTCTTGACCAGTCTTCCAAATCTGGGTGGGAAGGGACAGGCAGTGTCCTGGGACTCAGAGCAGGGACAGCTCCCCTTCTTGTGGCCCTGCCATCTTTCTCAAAAACAGCGTGTCCTAAGAGAGATGTAGAGATATGGTTCTTTCAAACTGTGTCTCCAAACAAGAAGACACGGAGTTCGCCAGACCCTGTCCCGTGACCTGAGGCTGAGCTGTTAGTTTAGCCACAGACCTATAAGCTAGAAGTAACTGGTGTAAGCCATGAGATTTGGGGGTTGTGTGTTATGTAGCACTGCCACAGCATTACAGAGAGGAAAGCTGGACTACAGGAGAGTAGTGGGAAGACAGACTTGGGTTAGGACTGGACCGTAAGGGCTTTCTCTGTCTTTGACAACTTTCCCCAAACTTACTGTCCCCTGGAGCAGCCCATGGGGCCCGATGACCTGGTTGAAGACATGCTGGGTGACATGGGCATCCAGGGCTGCCAGAGGGTCATCCAGCAGGTACACAGCAGCCTTCCTGTACACAGCCCGTGCCAGGCTCAGCCGCTGCTTCTGGCCTCCAGAGAGATTCATGCCCTGTGGCCACAGCGAGGGACAGAGACCTGAGCTACATCTGCTGGGTGAAGCTGGTGTGATGGGGCCACATCTCATCAGAGGGAGGTCCAGCTCACTATGCCTGTCCTCCAGGGTCACCCACGTCCCAGCTTTAAATACTTGTTCTCAAACCAACATACCCAAGTGTCACTCAGCCTCACTTCTCCACTTTTCAGCCAAGCTTCCTGGTGGAGGTGCCTGGCTTCCTGGTGGAGGTGCCTGCATGCTCCACACCTACTTTCACTTCTCCCATTGCTTGAGTCTGGCTTCTGTTTCCCATTTCTCTACCTTATCACCCACCTCTGGGACACCAGCCACCCCCCTGTTGCCTCATCCATTGGTAACTTTTCAGTTAGTTCATTCATTTATTTGTGCATTCTTTCATTTGTTTGTTCGCTCATTCTCTCATTCATCCATTCATTTGCTCATTCATTCATCCTCTCATTTGCTCATTCATTCATCACTCATTCATTCATTCATTTGCTCAGTCATTAGCTCATCCATTCATCCATTCATTCTCTCATTCACTCATTTGCTCATTCATTGGCTCATTCGCTCATTCATTCATTCACTCACTCATTCATTTGCTCATTTGCTCGTTCACTAGTTCGTTTGTTCTACTCATATTTACTGCATGGCTACTATATGCCAAGCACTATTCTAAGCTCTGGGGATAAGCAATGAACAAAACCAAGTCCCTGCTCTCTTGGACCTTTCACTATAATGAAGGTGGGGTGGGAGACGTAATCAATAAGCAAACAAGTAAAATGTATCACCTATTGGGTGTGATGTATCATGAAGAAGCAGGGTAATGGTGTACCATGTGTACTGTGCTGGGTAAGGTGGGCAGGGAACTCCTCAACACTAAGGGAACATTTGAATTGAGACCTGATGGAAGTATGGGATGAGCCATATAGACTCCCAGAAAAGAGCTTTACAAGCACAGAGAATGGCAGGTGCAAAGGCCCTGAGGTGGGAGATTGCTTTGGGTGTTCAAGGACCATCACGAGATCCATGTGGCTGGAGTGAAGCAGGAGAGGGGGAGCACAGTGGGAGGTGCAGTCAGAGAGAGAACTGGGGCCACATCTCTGGGGGCCTCATCACTGGTTGTCAGGACACTGGCTGTGACTCCAGGGAAAATGGGAAGACCCTGGAGTATTTGAGCAGAGGAAGGGTAGCTGGGGGCTGCTGCAGAAACATAGGGGAGGGTTGATGGTGGATGGTACTAGAACATTCTGGCTCTGCTTCAAAGGTGGACCCAACAGGATTTACTGATGGATTAAATGTGGATATAACAAAAAGAGAGGAATCAAGGGTGACACCAAGATTTTTGCTCTGAGCTCTGGAAGGATGAGGCATCCATCCCCCAGGAGGGGTGCTTATGGGAGAGCACACGTGTGGTTTAGGATGTGACCCAGCTGGACAGGGCAGGGCAGCAGGCACCCTTCCTTCTGAAACACCCTCCCGTGGCCTCCACACCACCTTGTCCTCCCTGGAGGCTCCTCCTCAGCTGCTCTTGCTGGCTCAGCCACACAGAAGGCTCCCCAGGCACTCTCTTGGTCCCCTTCCTCTTCTCTCCAGGAAACCTCACTCACTCCCAAACTTCATCTCCCAGTTTTCCATTCTCAGTTACCTAATCCAGGAGTCCACAAGATTTTTCTGCAAAGGGTCAGCTTCTCAGGGTGTGCAAAAACTGCCATGTGCCAGGGGTAAATGAATGGGCCTGGTTGTGTCCCAATAAAACTTTATTTACAAAAACAGATGGTGGGCCATATTTGACTGGTCACAGTTTGCTGACCCTGCCCAATCCAATAGCTCCAAGTGCATATATCCTGTTTATTGGGCATCTGCTCAGACCCACTGGTGAAGGCCCAAGAAGGGAACCAATTTGACCAATGTCACCCCCCAACCCCTGCCATGTCTCTCTGCCTTTGTCTCTATTTTCAATCATACACCCATTAATAACTATTTATTGAGCCCCTGCTATGTGTTGGGTCCTGAGCTAGGCCCTTTTCCTCCCCCACTTTCCTGCCCGTTTCTGTCTCCTCTTTGTCCCTCCTGCCACACCACCCAAGAGTCAGGGAGGCAAATGCAATGCCTCCCTATCCCAAGAAGGCCCCGAGACCCTCACCTGCTCCCCGATTTGGGTGTGGACTCCTGCAGGGGAGCTGCCCACGTCTGGCCACAGGGCACAAGCCTCCAGGACTCTGTCCAGCCACAGCGGGTCCAGCTCCTGCCCGAAGCACACATTCTCCACCAGGGATGTGTTCTGGACCCAGGCCTCCTGGGGCACGTAAGCCACAGGACCCTAAAACACAACTCGCTTTGACCACTGGGAAGCTGATAGGGACAGAGAAGGGATGATTTTGGAGCAGTGGGAGCTGGGCTGTTGGTGGCAGGGGAAGGTGGAGAGTTGAATGGAGAGGGTCTTGGCTGTGAAGGGAAGGAGCAGTGGGGAGGGAGGGCTTTGGGGATGGGGGATGCCCTGGCAGACATGCAGGGAATGTGGCCTCACCTTGATGCTCACGGACCCCTCCTCTTTAGACAGCTCTCCAAGGAGGGCGGAGAGCAGGGAGGATTTCCCTGCCCCCACTGGGCCAACAACAGCCAGCAGACAGCCCTGGGGCACAGTGAGGTTTATCCTGGCAACACAGGAGGTGGGGATGCGTCCCTGGGTAGGGCCCAGCCTGAGTCTGCAGAATGGGTGAACCCCAGACAGAGCCAGCCTTTCCCATGGTCACTCATCTAGGTCACTAAGAGGTGTAGCAGGGGCAGTCCTTTCCTCTGTCAATCCTTGTCTGAGTATCTGAGCAGCCTTCTTGCCCCACGTATGTGCTTGTGCACACATATGTACACACATATGCTTGTATGCACATGCACACCCACATGTGCAAACACAAAAACACACTGACATGTGCACACATGCACACAATGTATACACAACTCATGCACACACAAGTGTATGCACATGTACACAAACACCTGAGCACACATGCTGTAGCATCTATACAAATGAGTATGTGTGCTTCTATGCTCATGCCTGTATGTGCACACACATGCAGCTGCATGCATAAAATGCATTCACATGTGTACACATGTAAACACGCTCACACAGTTTACTGTGGCAGGAGGGTTTTAACCAGCATTTCCTCTTGCCTAGTTTTATTGCAATAGGCTCCTCATTGCTCCCCAGCCCCTGTCCATGTCCCATAATCCATCCTCCACCCAGTAGCCAGAGGACCTGTGAAAACCCAGGTCAGATCCTGACGCTTCCTGGGCAGCTCTGCTGTAGTTCTCATCACACTCAGGGTAAAAGCTAAGGCCTGTCAATCATGAAGCATGCCCCACCTGCTCCTGCTCTGTCCCCCAGCTGCTCTGCCTCCGCCATGCTGACCTCCTGGTTCTCAAACACAGCTGGGGTGACTGTGTCCCCCAGGTGTCATTTGGCAATGTTTAGACTATTTTTGGTTGTCACCTGGCAGGGATTGCTGCTAAAATTAGTGGGTAGATGTTGGGGCTTCTGTGAAACATCCTAGAAGGCACAGGACAACCCCCCAACATGATTATCCAGTCCCAAATGTCAACAGTGCTCAGGTGGAGACACAGGGGTTTCGGTATCCTCCTGTCCCAGGACCTTTGTACTTGCTGTTCCCAGTGCCTAGAAAGCTCTTCTCTCAGACACTTGCAAGACTCCTTCCTTCTCTCCCTTGCAACCTCAGTTTAAATGTCAGTCTCCCTGCAGTACACACTACTCTGCCATCACACTGCCCCCTCACCCTGATTTCTCACCCTGACACCTCCTATCAGAATGTCAACCCCAAGAAAGCAGGGCCCTTGTAGAACAGTGCCTGACACATGGCAGGTGCTTAATACATACTATGCAGTCAATGAATACCAATCAGCATAAACACTGCCCCCGGGTATTTTCCTTCCCTTCTTAGGTAGCTTTAGGGTTGACTGGGGTTTTCTGCCAAAGACCCAGCCAAAGAGTTGGGGCCTGGGGACTGACACAGGAGGGACAGGAGTGGGTGTGATTGATGGGCCTGCGCCTTGGGCTCCTCATGGCCAGGCCTCCCTTGGTGTTACCTTAGCCAGCCTAGGGAGCAGAGGGCAGTCTCCTCCCCAGCAGTGGAGGCTCAGGTGCCCTGTTCCTCCATCTGCAGGAGCTTTTGCTTCCCCAAGACTCTGCAGGGATGGTTCTCACAATCTCCCTGGCAGAACACCGGAGCAGGCTACGCTACTCTCCAGCCCTGGGCTGGGATCCTGCACCATCTTTTTCAGGTGGTGGGCGCCTCTTGGATCATCCTGCCAACAGGAAGGTAGTTACCAGGGGAGCCGTTCTGTACCTGTGCAGGCATGCAGGGCTTTCCCGGGACCAAGCGAAAGTGCCTTCGTGCACGCTGATGCAATTCTCCCCAGCAGCTGCAGGGCACAGAAGGCCGTTACCTGAGGTGCTCCTGGCTGGCCTCCACCTCCAAGAGAGCCCCAGGCGCTGCCCCCTGGGGGCAGCAGGAACTCTCTCCCACTGAACGAACTGTCCTGCTTCTCAGGCTTGTGTGTGACCCGGGGGTGGTCACATTCTCTCCTTCTCAGATGGTCATGTAATTCAGGAGCAGGCAAACCAGCACCCAGGGACTGGATCCCAACTGCTGCTTAGTTTTACAAATAAGATTTTATTGCAACATAACCATGCACAATTATTTACTTATTTTTAATGGCTGCTCTCATGCTACAATGGCTGAGGTGAGCAGATGCTGCGGCCAGAACTCTAAGTAGCCTCAGAAACACCCAGTTTTGGTTATTTAAAGCCCTTTTTGCCCGCTTCTGTGTTTTTTTTTTCTAATAGTAATTATGATAACTAACATGCATTGGATGCTGACTTTGTGCAGGGCCCTGCTCTCTGTGTGTTACTTAAATGAACTCATTTACCCTCATGACAGTCCTATGTAGAGGTGCTGTGACCATCTGCCCAAGATACCCGTTTTGCAGATGGGAACACTGACACTCGAAGAGAGTCATAGCCTGCCAGCGTCACCACGCTTGGGGGAGGCACTGGGCGCAGAATATGGCTTTGGGCTGTCTACTGTCACAGGCTGTGCTTTTAGCTACCACGTGGGTGTTTTCTATGAAAGCACATGGATGATTCTTTGGCTACAACAAGGGGAGGATCTTGACCCAGTGACAGGTCGCCCCTCCCACTGCTGTTCATTTCACATCACTAGAGCCATAGGTGTAGGTCAGGAATGGATGGGGCAGAGGGGGAAACCCAGATAGTCCGCGCTTGGTGAATCTCAACATGCAATGGTGCTTGTAGTCTCTCTGACTATATTTTCTAGCAGATTCACATGTTGCCATGCATCTGTCTGGACCTGTCTGGACACACGTGCCAGGGCCTGGCCTGATAGGCTGCTCACCGTGGCACAACCGGAGGGGCACATGAGGGCGCTCCACGAGCAGCAGCTGAGTGGCTGGTGGTACCAGCGTCAGGGTGCTCGTGTTCAAGTTACGTGGCTGACGGCTGGTCTGCCTGTGCCATCCTACTGCTGGGAGCCGCCCAGCTAGGACCCTGGCATTCGGTCAGTGGACTTGGGAAGGCTGCCGGGCCCCTCAGCCCCCCACACCCTGCCTGCTGAACTCAGCACTCACAGCATTTGGAGAAACATGAGTCCACAGCTCCAGGGTCAACTTCTTCCAGGCAGAGGAAGGCAGCCAGACGGTCAAAGGATACGCGGGCCTGGGGAAACCAAAGCCCCCGGTCAACCGTGCCGGAAGACCAGAACGAGGACTCAGACGTCCAGTGTCAGAGGACTCCAGATGGGGACCGCTTCCTGTCTAGCAAGCCCTACACATTAACAAGGCATTTACACAGAGCTCTGTAGACCGCAGAGAACAGGGCACTTGGAGGCAGTGATGGTGATGGTGGCGGGACCCTCCTCACTCCTAATTAACAGATCAAGCTGCCTGCCATTCTGCAGACCAGCCTCCGGAAGAGGATGGTGGCTTTTCTAGCAGTGTCATCAGGCCATTATCAGGGATGATTCCACCTGGGGGCGCCGTCTCCACTCCCAACCTTAAAACCATCTTTGGTCACTAGAGAGGCGGCCCCTTAAACAGGGATGGCTCGGCTAGGCCCCCGTTGCCTCATTTTCATCATGCCCAAGGAGGCACAAGGGGAGCAGAGACAGTAAAGGAGGAGAAATGGAATAAAACTGCTTTGTAGGAAAAGGGAACCAGAATGAAGTCTTGCACGGATTGCCTGTGGCCTTCCTGTATCGGTGAGGCTCCGAGGCTCCGTGCTTTGAGGATGTCTGTGGGCACCTTCTGCCCGTCCCGCCTCTTTCCCTGCTCTGTTTCACTGTGTCCTCCTGCCGCCTCCCCTGCTGGTGGTGGGCAGACTGTCGGATCCAGCACACCCCTGCAAGGCTCCTCCAACACGCTCTCCTGCCTGGCCTCACCTGGACCACAGAGTGGATGGAAAAAGGCAGGAAGGCCTGCGCCTTGTTGAGGATATTGAGAACCGTGAGGGTCACAAAGGCTTTCTCGGCGTCCATGGCGTTGTCCTTGGCCACCAGCGTGTGGACTGCAAACACAACCAGCGCGACCTGCGTGACACATCGGCAGCACCCATGAGCTGTGAGCGTGGCCCGGGAAGCTGGGCAAGCGACGCTGCCTCCAGGGGCCCGTGTGGCCGAGCCCACCACGTTGGAATGGCCTCCCTCCAGCCAGAGCTCACCCCCAACTCTGCGAACCCCCAGGCTGCATTCCTAGGTCCTGGAGCTGTGCAAGGCACTCCTGACATACATGAGGGGTGAGCTGATTGTGCGGCCTCTGTTCTGGGAACCAGAAACTCTGGGCTCCAGGCACTGGGGTAGCATTTTTGTGGTTCTAGACATGGGTGGGATCTAAAGCATGATGCTAGGGACCCTGGCAGGGGGCTCTGAGGTTCCAGGGTAACAGCAGCAGTGGGCAGGTCTGGGTTTGGTGGCATTTGTGGTTCTCGATGTCACCAGGTTTGACTCTTGGTGCAGGTGTCAGGTGCCAGCTGGTGCGATAGTCACTCAGTGTGATGTCAGTAGGTGTCCAGGTGACCTAGTGATCCTACCTGGGGAGCTCTCACGGTTCTAAGCGATGGTACTTGCGGTTCTGATTGTTGATTGTGTTTGTGACACCAGATGGCCTCTGGGGTTTTAACTTCTTCTGGAACCAGTGGTTTAAGGTCCACCAGCCTTTGGAGGAGTTTGGGTTTTATTTTGGGAGCAGCAGCAAGTCCCTATAGTTTTGTTTGCAAAGGCATGACTGAAGTCAAAGCCGGGCTTTCCGAAGGCTAACCCGGCAGCAATTTGTAAACTAAATCAGAGGAGGATTTAGAGGACACGGTGGCCACCGTGCCTGTGAGAGGCCACTGCAGCCATTTGACAGCCTCCATCAGTGTGGACTTAAGAGTTTTACTCTGCAGCTTCCCGCCCTGTCACCCATGCCCCAAGCCAGCAGGAGCAGAGAAAGTTCCAGATGCCTGGAACTTTCAGAAGGAGAATGGAAGACCTTGTTAGCCACTGCCGCCTTCAGGGGACTGATCTGACTGATAAGCTCACTTAGCAGAAAGCAAGGACCCCTGAGAGAGGAGGAGCGAGGAAAGGTACATTTGGACGGGCCAGGTGGGCTGCAAAGAGAGGCTCCAGAATCCGGGGGGCTCTGCCTACCTCGTCCCCCCGCCCTACCCCACGGTCCATGCTCTGCAGGGAGACCAGAGTGACATCACCAGAAATGTGGACACTTGGAAGGACACCAGCGACACGGAGAAGAGGAGGCTGGAGGTCTTCAAGGCGCGCAGCTCCTGGCCCCGGATGTGCATGATTCTGTCCAGAAAGGCTCCCTCCCAGGCATGAGACTTGACCATCCTCACGTTCCTGAGGATGCAGCTGGTGAGGCTCGCCCGAGAGTCCTTCTGCCTCATTTGCTCTTCCTGGGACACGACGGAAGAGGGAGAGGATAGGGACAAGTCTAGAATTTGCCTTCCCTGCAACTGTCACCCTGCCTTCATCAGGTCCTGTTGATTCTGCCTCCCAACCAGGCCCCAAGCTGTCTGCCTCTCAGCATCTCTGTCCCCACAGTCCTGGCCTGAACCACCATTGCCTCATCCCCAGGTCTGGACCACTACAGGTTCTTCCTCCTTCCTGTCCCCCTGCTTCTGCCCTCAGCAAGGGGCAGCAGCTGACATGCCATAATAGAGGGAATGCCCTGAGCCCAAGGAAGCGGGGAGCCCTGCCCCAGCCTGGGCATGGTGCCTTCAGGAAGGCTTCCTGGAGGTGGGGATGACGCCTGAGCTGGGTCTGGAATGATGAGAGGTGCTGAGCATGCAGAGAATGAGTGAGTGAGTTGGGTGGAGAGGGTGGAGGGACAGACAGTGTGGTCAGGAGGAGGTGTGCGGGGGTAAGAGCAGGGAGGTAGGCTGGACCACCCTGGGACATGGGGTTCAGGGAGAGGAGTTTGGGGGCCACTGTGTTTCACCACAGAGGGCCAGGTCTCTAGAGGGGCAGCTGTGTGAGAATGTCTTAGAGGTGGTCAGGAGGCTGGAGAAACAGTCTATGCAAGACCAAATGCCTCCTCTTTCCTCCTTAGCTTATAAGTACCTATCCAGCACCTCCTATGTGTTAAGCACTATTCCCAAAGCCGAGGCTGTGTCAGTGAGTGGCCTCTGCCGCTGGGACGCTGTCAGTCTGATGACAGAGACAATAAATGGAAGTGCCAGGCGCATAGCATGGCAGGTTAAAATAACAGGTGCTGTGGAGCAAAACAGGGCAGGCAAAGGAGAGCTGCTGCACGAGGCGGAGGGGAGAGGCGGCTGGTAGAAACGAGGGCAGCTGAGAGGGCAGGCTGCTCAGCCTTCACAGAGGGAGGGGAACAGGGACGTCAGGGTGAGGGTGCTCTGTAAGGGCTGCAGCCCTGAGGCGGGACCCAGGAGGGGCTCAGGCAGCAATGCAGGTGAGACAGTGGGGCTTGGCGAGCCCACAGTGCCAGGGGGCAACACGCTGGATACAGTTTGAAGGTGATGCCAAACCAGATCTGGTGCTGGACAGGGTGTGAATAAAGGAGGCATCGAGGCTGACCCATGGTCGTTCTGCAGCCTGAAGGTGGGGATGAAGCTTCCATCCACCGAGATGGGGGGACCAGGTGGGAGGTAAAGGTCTGAGTGGCAGGGAAGGCTCTTGCCACCACCAGGCCTGCCCCCATCTCCCTTCCGACCTCCTGGCATGAATACTGGTCCCAGGGGCTGCAAGCTGTCTCTCTGCTTCCCACCTGGAGTGCCCCTCCTCCCACAGGTCAAACCTGATGGTGGTTCCTTTTCTTGGTGAGGAGGAAATTCACAGGGAGGAGGCTCAGGAAGACAACGATGGCAGAGAGGGCAGAGGGTCCTAGAAGCTAGAGACAGAGGCAAAGGATGTCATGAGATGCCTCCAGGTGAAGACCAGGATCACGGGGCCCCACAGCGGCAAACGCTTGGCGACCATGGAGTGCGTGCACGTCAGGGAGGGGCGCGGTGCACCTCCCACATGGGGCAGGTGTTTATCAGACAGGCAGTGCATCCAGACCGGTGGGGCAGAGGGGTGTGCTTGGTCAGAATGGTGAAATCAGACCTCTGTACTCGGGATCTGGGTTCAAATCGTGACTCTGGCATTTACTGGGGTGGCACTTGGAACTTGGCAAGTTAGTTAACCTTCCTACGCTGCAGTTTCTTCATCTGAGACATGGAATTAGAGCCCCTCCAATGCCCAGAGCAAGTGTGTGTGTCACAAAGTCATTATCCTACTCTTCATCTCACCCCTGACAAAGAGTGTCTGATTTAGCAAATAAACATATAGGATGCTCACCCAGTTAAATCTGAATTTTAGATAAAGAGTACATAAATTTTTAATACAAGTATGTCCCTTGCAGTATTTGGTATATACTTATGCCAAGGAGCTACTCAGTTTATCCGAAATTCTAATTTAACTGGATGTCCTGTATTTTGTCTGGCACCCTACCCCGCACCTGCCTTGTGACAGTTATGCTCCCCCTTGGCTGCAGTTTCTCTTTCTGGAAAATGCGGAGGTGGGGGGTAGGGTAAAATTATTTTTAAGTGGCTGTGACTTTTTGAGATTTCTCCCAGTCATTTGGGCCTGGCTCTAGACAGGCCCCACCCCGTCTTCAGCCTGTGGGCCTCAGTGTCTCCTCTCAGCCCTTAACACTATTTCGTTATCTTGAAAACTGAGCAAGCCCGTTTCATTTATGTAGCAATTATGCCACCTAGTGGCTAAATAGAGAAGTGCCCAGAAGGCAAACATCCCACAGCCTAGGTTGGGAAATTATGAACAGAAGGTGAAGCTCTCTGGCAAAAATGGTATCATTTGGGGAAAAAATGCTACAAATGCTAACTGTAGTAACCCCAATGCCCGCGCCCCCCGCCCCTCAGATAACCAGGATCTCAGGGTGACTCTGTTAGTCTGCAAAGAGACCAAGAAAACCGTGGGGTGCCCTTTTCAGATTCACTTGGGTCCTGGGTCTGTCCGCTCAATCACTCTGCATTTTCCCATGTGTCCTTCCTCCCTCCCTCCCTCTCTTCCTAATGCTAATAGTTAAAATTTATGTACTGCATGTCAAGAGCTGCATGTCAAGTGCCTAACGTTTACTTGTGTACTTGCTAAGCACCCACTGTATGCTAGGCCCTGGAATCCAGGGTAGCAAGCCAGAAGTCCTGGCCCCATGCCTTACTGGGTGAATGGAAATATTAATAGAGATACAATCATGATGTCAGTATGCACTAGATGGCATTTTGGAGTATCTCACACTGTAATCAATATGCCATTTATACAGTCGCCCAGGGATCTGTCAGCTACGGCACATGGGCAAGTTACTTAACCTTCCTACGCTGCAGCTGTTTTTGCACAAGAATTGTTAATGGCTTTTACATTTGTATATGGTTGAAGAAAACCAAAAGAAGACTATTTTGTGACATGTGAAAATTATATGAAATTCAAACTTGTGTCCCTAAATAATTTTATTGGAACACCACCATGCCTATTTGGTTAACATTGTCTGTGGTCACTTTTGCACAGGAAGAGCAGAGTTGAATAGTAAGCGAGGCTACATGGCCCCCAGCATCTAAAATATCAACTGTCTGGCCCTTTACAGAAAAGTTTTTGAGCCTTGTACCTGGACCAGAGCTGGGGTGAGATCTTCAGATGCACTGCCTCGCCCCGCTTCTTAATTAACAACGTGAGTAAATATTTGTAGAGTGTAGCTGTGTGCCAGATGCCCATCTAAGCATTTTACAGGTATTACTTGAGGGCAGGGGGGCTACTGTTAATTACGACCCTCATTTTACACATGAGGAAATGAGGCTCAGAGAGGCTGTTCCTTGTGTAAGTTTTCACAGCTAGCAAGTGGTAAATGCAGGATTTGAACCCAGGCTGTCCCACTGCTGAGTCTGTGATTTTAATAACAGAAAATCCTACACTACAAAGTAGACGGAAGGAAATCAGAAAAAAGCCCTATGTTTTTTGCCAGATGGCCACTTTAGGCTTTTTGAAAACCAGGTAGCAAATTCTTTCCCCTAAAGTTTTCCCTTTCTTTTTGTTGATAGCGTGATGAGCCTGTGTTACTGGCAACTTCTGAACATACTTGGTGCCCCATTACTGTACCTAAGAGCCTTCAATGTCATCATCACCATCCTTATTTTACGGACAAAGAAACTGAGGCCCAGAGAGGAGGTGCATCCTGCCCAAGGTCAAGTGAAGGCCATCCTCGTGTAAGACTTTGCGCATCGTGTCAGCCCACAGTGCCGCCCAGTGGCCAAATGGAGAAGTGCCCAGAAAGCAAACATACCACAGCGTAGGTTGGGAAATTATGAACAGAGGCAGGATTAGAAGGGGGAGGAAGGGAGAGGAGGGGGAGGGAGAGGCCAGGGAGGAGGATTCGGCTCAAATCCCGCTGCCTCTGCCCCAGCATACCTGCCAGAGATAGACAAAGCAGATGACAACCCAGAAGAGCGGCAGCCACAGCCCATTGAGGTAGATGACGCTCTCAGTGAGCCGCTGCACGTCCACGGACACCAGGTTGACCACGTTCCCCACTGCACTGGCCTTTCTGGAGCCGCTGGACAGAGCCAGGACCTGGGCAGGGCAGGAGGATAACGCCTGAGTCAGAGGGAAGGACAGGACGAGTAGGGTGGAGGCTGGCAGGGAGGCCCATGGCACAGACGGAGCCAGAGGACAGCAGCCCAGCAGGCCTGGGTCTAAGCTGGGTGGCCCCTGCTGGCAGGGGCAGGTCACTTATACATCTGAGCCTCAGTTTACGCATCTGTAAAGTGGGCTGGTAAAAACTTCCCAAGGCCGTTGTGAGAATACAGGGAGAGGACAAAAATGAAAACACTCTGACACCCCTAAAGCCCTGGAGTAATAACAATGAATAACATAATTATTATGGAAACCTTCGATTCATGATGGTAACATGCTGAAGGCTAACAATGTCCCAGGCATGGTGTTAGATGAATGGGTTCATATGGAGCAGGCACTACCGTATTTCATTCAATCAGAAATGCCGTGGGTAAAACACTCTGTATCACTAAGGAAAGAAATCAGTGCCAATTAAGACACATCTTGATGTAAAATGTTCAAAATGTGGGAGAAAAAAGGGAGTCTAGGATCAATGAAACGCAAAATTACTAACCTTGCTTTACAGTAAAGGAAACTGAGGCACAGAGAGTTTGACCAACTTGGCCAAAGTTAAAGGGTTTGTAAATGGCCTGGCAGGACTGGAATCCAGGATGACTAAGGCAAGACAAGGGCGAGACAGGGTGCTGGGTCAAACCCCTGCAGGCACTGAACACGCTCCTCAGACACTGGGTTCTCTGGCAGCCACAAATCTGCTCTAGTCCCTGGGGGTCATAGTGGACCCCTTCCAGCCTGCTGAATGCCAGTTTCTGCTTACATTGTGGAATTGAAGGGGTTAAGGAGTGAGTCAGGAATGGCTGAGTGTAGAAATTCTCCAAAAAATCTTCAAATCCTTCTTGAGCACCTAGGTGGGTCCCACATTGACCCCAGTACTAAGAATACAGCTGTGAACAAAAGAGGCAGGGGGCTTGCTCTACACCAGGAGCTGGAGAACAAAATTAAATAAAGACATAGTTCATTCCTTAACTGTAATTACAATGAGTGCCATGAGGAAGTGCCTTAATATAGGTTTTACTATTATTCAGGTATGGCAAGGCCACCAGATCAGGAACAACTGCCATTGGCAAGATAGTTTTCATACTCACAGATCTCAAGAGGAGGGGGCACTCCATGCCCTGGGGGGCTACATGGAGAAGCACCAGGGTCTGTTGGAGGCAGAGGGAGATGGAGGTGGGGGGGATCTGTACGGTGGTTTTCACAGGAAGGAAGGGCTAATAACAATGAATAACATAATTATTATGGAAACCTTCGATTCATGATGGTAACATGCTGAAGGCTAACAATGTCCCAGGCATGGTGTTAGATGAATGGGTTCATATGGAGCAGGCACTACCGTATTTCATTCAATCAGAAATGCCGTGGGTAAAACACTCTGTATCACTAAGGAAAGAAATCAGTGCCAATTAAGACACATCTTGATGTAAAATGTTCAAAATGTGGGAGAAAAAAGGGAGTCTAGGATCAATGAAACGCAAAATTACTAACCTTGCTTTACAGTAAAGGAAACTGAGGCACAGAGAGTTTGACCAACTTGGCCAAAGTTAAAGGGTTTGTAAATGGCCTGGCAGGACTGGAATCCAGGATGACTAAGGCAAGACAAGGGCGAGACAGGGTGCTGGGTCAAACCCCTGCAGGCACTGAACACGCTCCTCAGACACTGGGTTCTCTGGCAGCCACAAATCTGCTCTAGTCCCTGGGGGTCATAGTGGACCCCTTCCAGCCTGCTGAATGCCAGTTTCTGCTTACATTGTGGAATTGAAGGGGTTAAGGAGTGAGTCAGGAATGGCTGAGTGTAGAAATTCTCCAAAAAATCTTCAAATCCTTCTTGAGCACCTAGGTGGGTCCCACATTGACCCCAGTACTAAGAATACAGCTGTGAACAAAAGAGGCAGGGGGCTTGCTCTACACCAGGAGCTGGAGAACAAAATTAAATAAAGACATAGTTCATTCCTTAACTGTAATTACAATGAGTGCCATGAGGAAGTGCCTTAATATAGGTTTTACTATTATTCAGGTATGGCAAGGCCACCAGATCAGGAACAACTGCCATTGGCAAGATAGTTTTCATACTCACAGATCTCAAGAGGAGGGGGCACTCCATGCCCTGGGGGGCTACATGGAGAAGCACCAGGGTCTGTTGGAGGCAGAGGGAGATGGAGGTGGGGGGGATCTGTACGGTGGTTTTCACAGGAAGGAAGGGCGAGTGAGGGTAAGCAGGCTTAGGATTGGCTAGTTTGAATACCAGGTGGGCTGTGGGGCATGGGAGCTGTTCCTAGTGCCCGGCCTGGGGTGATTCAGGCAGGTGTATGGTGGTCCACAGTGTGAGCCCTGTAAAGGAGGCAGCTGGGAGTATGAGCTCTGGGTTGGCGGTTGCATGGGAAAAGTATGCTTTCAGGCGAGCACTCAATACCTCTAGGAATCGGCCAGCCCAGGAAGAGACAGCCCCTCCAGGGTTAGCAAGGCCCCAGGTGACAAAGCACAAGAGGTGGAAAACAAGACTTGTTAATACAGAAGCAGCCTGGCAGGTAAAGCAGGGTGTCTGACCTCATCAGGAGAGGAATGAGGCTCCCCTGAGAGTGGGAAGGGGGAGGAGCAATGCCCTCAGGCCCACGCATCCGGCCAGGAGCTGTTCCCTCTGCTCGCCTCTGCCAGGTGACAGTTCAGGTATCAGGGGAGACATCTGGCTCAGATGCTCCAGTCCCCACAGGAGCCAACATCTCTTATAGCAGCAGTCTCATGGGCTTCATTTCCAGGGCCCCCAAAGGGGACAAGAGTCACTGCATAAAGAGAAGCCCAAAGCTATGGCTTCCCACCAGGTACTCATAGTTCATTGACAGAACTTCTGGCCCCAATGCAGTTTACCAATGAGCCAAGGGTCATTTTTACCATAAACAGGATTGCCTGGCAACCCAGCTGACAGTCCACCTTTATCTGGTTTCCTGCACAGCACAAAGGTTAGCCCTTTATCCTCATGAGGGATGAGTGGACAGTAACTGCATGAAGAGGCCTGGAAAGGGTGTCCAGGCAGTGGGAACAGCAGTGCAAAGGCCCTGAGGTCAGAGGGTGCCTGGTGTGTTTGTGACTGAACCTGAGTTAGCAAGGGAGATGGTGTGTGATATGATGAGGCTGGAGAGGTCCCAGGGTCAGATCACACAGGGCCTTATGAAAATAACCAAGGAGGTGATAGTGTCGCATGAGTAACTATGAGTAATGAATGAGTGCATTTGAAGGTACCCCCAGTACCTAAAGAATGCAACTGTATTTGGAGACAGGGCCTTTAAAGAGATAATTAAGTTAAAATGCAGCCATTAGGGTGGGACCCTGATCCCAAGTGACTGGTGTCCGTATGAGAGGAAATTTGGACACACAAGGAGATATCACAGGCGCAGGTACCAGGAGAGAAGACGGGAGGGCACAGCCGACCAAAGGGAGAGGCCTCGGGAGAAACCAACCTTGAGTTTGAACTTTTAGCTCCCAGAAGTGTGGGGAAATTAACTTCTGTTGTCTAAGCCACCCAGTCTGTAATATTTAGTTATGGCAAACAAATACACCACCTCGTGAATCAGCTTTGGCCAGCAAGACACAGTGGAGTTGAAATGGCCAGCTCTGAACCTAAGGCCTTGGGAAAATGTGGCTTTTGCTCTCTGTTTTGGAGCCCCGCCAAGCAGCCATGGGGACAGGCCAGAGCGAGCCTTGTGGAGGATGAAAGAGCACATGGAGCAGAGGCCAGCTGTTCCACCTGAGACCAGCAGTCCCCAGCCAGCCCTGCAGCTCACTGCAGACACCGGAGTGAACCCAAACAAGAAAAGAACTGCCCAGTGGAGCCTCGCCTGAGTACGGACCCATATTATTATGGATAAAATATGTGATTTTAATACCCTCACTTTGGGGGTGTTTTGTTATACAGCAAAAGCTTACTGACACAGTCAGTTTCCAGTTCATCCATTTTTCTCTCCCGGAGGTCAGTCACTTCCTCATTTATTTTTGCCCTTCCTCATATCCCTTTCATCTACCCTTTAGTGCCCTGAGCACAAGAGGTCTAGGCAGAGGCAGAAGGTGAGCAGGTGCCCCCTGGCCCTGGAAGGACACCATTAAGGAGCTAGCCTTAGCAAGGCACACAAGGCCTGCACCCACCTGAGGAGCTTGGGGACAGTGAACCTGAAGACATCACTGATGATAAGGCTGAGGGTCCCCAGGAGGAAGGTGGAGCGGAACATCCGCCAGATGGCCCTCAGCAGCGGGCCCCTCTTGCTCTCCTCTTGATGCAAGAAGGCCTCAGTCTCCAGGGCCTCCATGCCACGGCTTCCCCTCCTTTTGTATGCTGTGGGCTTGGTGGTCCTTAGGGGAGAAAAGAATTGGCTCTGTATCCTTGCAACAGACGAATGTTTGTGGCCTTCCCAAATCCATGGGTTGAAACCTAACCCCCAGTGTGATATATTTGGAGGTGAGACCTTTAGGAGGTGGTGAGGTCATGAAGGTGAGCCCCCATGAATGGGACTGGTGCTCTTATCAAAGGGACCTGAGAGCTCCTTCCTCTTGCCACCATGTGAGGAGACAGCACAGCGATGACTATCTATGAGCCAGGAGGCAGGCCCTCACCAGCCCCCAATCCCCAGCCTCAGAACGGCAAGAAATGAATTTCTGTTGGTTATAAGCCACCCCCTCTGTAGTATTCTCTTTTAGCAGCCTGAATTAAGACCGTCCTTTAAATATTCTCAGCAGGACCAGGCATTACAGGGCTATGTTCCCAGCAAGGGGACAGGTGGGCACGGATCCCGGATCCTGCCTCTCTCCCTCACCTGTTCTTCCTTGTCACCCAGAAGACCCATTTATGAGACCATCAGGCGGGGCAGGAGGGCAGCCCTGAGGCCTCAGGGACAATTATGGGAATGCATGTGCATTGAGAACCTACTATGTGCCAGGTACTCCTTAGTCCTTCTAAGAGGCTGCCAAACCAGGTATTATCCCCATTTCACAGATGAGGAAACTAAAGTTCAGAGGGTGAACTTGTCCAAGGGCACACAGCTGAGAAGTCAAAAACTGGGGTTTGATCCCAACCCTCTGACTTCTGAGGCCAAGCCGTTTTTTTAATCTATTTTGCAGCATCCCTCCCTGCCCAGTCCCTTCCACAAACAGCTGGTCCTCGGGTGGTTCAGAAGTGGCTGAGAACCAGTTCAGAATCACAGCTGATGTCCCTGGGCTTGGCACGCTGGGTCTGGATGAAACCGCAGGTGGAAGCCAGATTTCTTGAAGCAGTAAGATCTGGGACCTTGGCCCTACGCAGGGGGGCCACAGGGACAGCTCAGGGAGGGAGGGAGGGAGGGTGGAGCCAGAGGGTGCTTCCTGAGGCAGGCGAGCCCTTGGCCACAGGGAGATACTGGCAGTGACGCAGCTGCTGACAGCATGGTTGCTGTGTGACCTTGGGCAGACTGCTCCCCTCTCTGTGCCCCATGTCCTTGTGCGTGAAAAGAGGAGGCTGGTCCCACTCTCTGAGTCCCCTCCAGCTCTGGCAACCTGGGGGGTTCTCAGCAATTTCAGTGCCTGTTTACAGAGCTGGGACCCGGGGCCAGGAACTGGGATCAGCCCTTGGCACACATGAGTTCACAGGCTCTTCTCAACCTTCCTGCCCGGTGGGTATCTTGGGCTCCCCATTTTACTTCAGAGGAGACTGAGGCTCTGAGAGGCGGTGACAGCCATCCAAAGTCACTCAGTGAAGGCAGAACAGGGATCTGAGCCTGGATCCCTATTCATGGTTCATATGGTGCCTCTATGTGAGTCCCAGTCCCCACCAAGAATTTTACAAAGAAGAAAAAGATAAACCTTGGGGAACGTGGGTAGCCAGTACCCCACTAACAAGGTCAAGGCCTTGCCCCTTATCTGTAGCCCAGCTTGCTATTTGGTTTGGCATCTCTGGAGGGTTGTGGCTCGACAGCCTACTGCTCCCAAACACATTGGTGTTGGGTCTCAAATGCCAAAAGGATGTCGCCTCGTTGCAGAGGCCGTCCCTAACCACTGCTCCCCATCCGCTCCCGTGGTTCACTTCACTGCCTTCAAAGCCATGCTCACTCTCTCCTACTCTTTCTTCTACACATTTGTCTTGTAAGAACTCCAGGTGGGTAGATTTTTTGCTTGCATTTTCCCCAGCCCACAGTTCAGGTCCTGAATGTACTAGGCACTCAATAAATACTTGCCAACTGAATCAGAAAAAACAGATTATGTGACGTGTGCCGAGGGCCTAAGAGGAAAGACTGGTGCGAATGTTACAGAGATTTGTGAAATGAATCAAACAAACTTGATTTGGTGGACACAGCCTGGCCTTGGGAACAGGAGACTGAGGTTCAAATGCCTGCTGTGTCCCCTCCCCTCTGAGCCTCAGTGTTGCCATCTGTAAAATGGGGTGGGTGAAGAGATGAACAGGAAGGCTCTTTCTAGCTGGATGTTTTCCTTAGTTCTGTTCTAGCTGCTTGGCCCAGAATTTTGAGTCACTGTGTTTAGCCTGCAGGCTCTATAGCAAACTTCTTCCTTTCTAGCAGGTCCCACTTTGCATCAAGGAAGGCCTTTGGACAGGTGCCTGCCCTTTGGTCTCTGTACCGAAGGCCGTTTAGTGCAGGACTCACAGATGACCACGATGTGAAGCCAGGGGTGTGAGTGGCCAGGTTAAGTTGGTGGGTAATGAAAGGGAGTGGTGGAGACTGTGGCAAATTGAAGAGCGCATGCCAGGTTCAACAGGGCAGCTGCTACCCAGATCTACTCTCCTGCTGCTGTCTTGGGATGTGACCCCACATTGCCAGTTTGCTTTAAGAGAGACCAGAATTCCAGATTTTTATGTGAAATCACCAATGTTTTTAAATGATGGCAACTCATTTAAAAACAAAATAAAAAAACTCTGAACAACAAGAACAATGAAACACCATGTGGATCAAACATACCCTGTGAGCCTGACTTGGTCAGCCGGTCGCTGGTTTCTGACCTCTGTGGATGATGTCCTCTCCCTTCCCCCAAAAGTTACAAAATATTTCAGAGATAAAACCAAAGTTCTCTCTGCATATCAGGTTAGAAAAGGACTGAGCTGGATCTTAGAAAACCATTGCTTTCCTACTTTCTTACTGTTCATTGTTTAAAGATTCTCAGACTGTTGTGGAGAATGTTTCTATGTTCTCCAATGTTCCCAAGCTGGCAGGTGAGGCTGGAGCTGGGAGAGAGTAGACAAGCCCCCCAGGGTGCTTCTGAATGAATTCTGCTGCTCAAAAATCTTTTAAGTATGGAATAGCAGTACAGCAAGCTATGTCCGAGGTGAACTGCTGTTTTGATGTGCTCATATTACTGACCCCTTTTGGAAAAACCTGTGCCCTTCCTTCGGGGAGCAGCCTTGCCCCTCTCTAGACCATAGGTTCCCAAACTCAGTCCCACAGACACAGAGGGCTCCACAGAAGTCTCCAGAGATGCCAGAAAGGGCAAGAGTAGACAGCAGGGCCAGGACTAGAAAGAGCTTGCAAACCTCGGATCTGATGTTGCTTGAGCTTTTACCATTTTCAAGGAATTCACTAAGTTCTTTCATATACATCATTTTTTTCATCCCTCATAAGCTATGAGCTAGGGCTAATGGCAGCCCCATTGGACAGATAAGAACACTGAGGTCCAGGCCACTAATCACTCTGGTTAATAAGTGAGTCGTTGCCTGCATGTTATGGACAGCCACCTGACTTTCCACCCTCAGGCTGTTTCCTGCTTGCCATTCTGCCAGTCGAGCTTCCTTCTGGGGGCCTTGACGAGCTCCCACATTGACCTTTTGGAACCTGCAAAGCACTCTGGGAAGAATGTCCTGAGCCTGGTCAGGTAATGCTTATTGAGATCAGCGGGCAGGCAGGGCACAGTGGCGGTGGGGCCTTGCGTAGAATCTGGGGTTATGTTTGGGGCTTTGCTGATTCAGTGGGAGGCTGGGCTCTTGTTTTTTGCACTCACCGCTGGGCCACACTGCGGTTCTTTATCCATTCTCTTTCAAGCTGGGAAACAAGTTCTGCAGAGGAGTTTTCTCTCCCAAGTGACCAGAGGTCTTTTGGTCCTAGTGATGTCCTGTAGCCCCTCCAGACCAGCCTGGAAAAGAGGGTCACCAAGGCAAGCTCCTCCTGCCACCTGCCCCTGCAGGGTCCCCGCCGGGTAGCTGTATGATGTTGGGTAAGTCCTCATCACCTGGTGAACTGGCCTTGGGGAAACATCTGTCTTCCCCACCACCTTGAGAGCCTCCAGGGAGTAAAGATTTGGCTTTTTGCCTTTTCAGCCTGGATGCTTAGCACATAGTGCTTATTAAATGTTGGTAGAATAAATGAACCTGATTAACAGGATTTTATTAAGCACCTGCTATGTATAAGCACGAACCACTTTACACTGAGTGAAGGTAAAGTTGTTCCCATTTTACAGAGGAGAAAATTGAGACCGAATGTTTGCAATATGGTCAGCTAGGAAACAGTCAGGATTCAAACCCAGATCACACTCCAGTAAGTGAATGAAAATGGGCTGTGGATGATGGACATGCCAAAATCTGAGAGGGAGGAGCTGAGGCTGGGAGGGAGAAAACCTGTGACCTCAGAAGGCTCAGGAAGAAATGTCTTGGGCAAGATCTGTAGTGACAAATAAGGGCAGCAAATGCCAGGTGGGTGGGGCACCACCCTGGCCCCCTACGTCCTATTTTACTTACCCAGAAACCCACCAGAACATGGCTTTGGAGGGGAAAGAGGCCCCAGCCTCTGGACATGGATTCTGTAAAGACAAATGATTGGCAGGGGTGATGACTCAGTCTCACATTCCGTGGACAGTACACGGAAGGGGAAACAAGGGCAGGAAGACAGGATGAATTGATCATGAGCTTAATACTGAAAGTGCTCACCAAGATGCCCTGCCTACAGGTCACAGATGGACACTGGTGGGCTTGGTGCTTCCTAGCAGGTGAGGCAAAAAGGGATTGGGCCACAGGACTGAAAGCATTCACAAGGTCAGACCTAACAATTTCCCAGAAGAACTACTATTGTTCATACGGAGACCAAGAAGTTCTCAAAGCAATGGTCATGTATGACACTGACAACAGCAACTTCAATAATATCCCTCAGTGAACACTGCGAGGAGGTAAGAGGGCTCTGTCCTGAGATTTTGCCAGCTGCTCCAGAAAAACTGCACAGACTCTTCACCAACAGGGAAGGAGAGTGCTCATTTCACTATATGTTTGCCATTACAACTTGTTATCAATTTAAACATTTTTTTCTTCCATTGTCATAGGAAAGAAAAAATCCTATTATAGTTACACTCAAGTAGTTGAGCATCTTTTTAGATGATCTCAGATCAGCTGACTCTTCCTCAGAGAATCCTTTCCTGATTTCACAGATGAGTTCAGTGTTACCTGCTGAAAATGCTTATGGTCTACGAACTTCTCTTGCAGAGATTTTCCCCTTTTGTAATTTTCCACATGCCTGTGTAATTATGTGATTAATGTCTGGTTTCTCTACTTGGCTGTTAGCTGTATGACAGGGACTATACCTGCTTGCTCACCTTAGATCCTCTCACCTAGCTAAAGAACACAGCAGGGGTTGGCAAACTATGGCCCTGAGGCCAAATCCAGCCCCCTGTGTATTTCTGCAAACAAAGTTTTATTGGAACTCAGCCATCCTCTTTGATTAACATATTGTCTGTGGCTGCTTTTGTGCTGTAACAGCAGAGTTGAGTAGATACCAAAGAGCCTGTGGCCCATAAAGCCCAAAATATTTTCTATCTTGTTCTAGACAGAAAATGTTGACCAACCCATGGCATAGAGTAGATGTGAATGCACCTTATGGAAGGAATAAATAATAAAGGTCTGTGCTGTAGTTCATCTTCCTTCTGTTACATGGGAAGACCGAGGCCAGAAGGGGGGCAGGGACAAGACAGGCACTGAGTTGGAGACATGGTGACTTACAGACTGTTGGGGGTCTTTTGGCAAGAAGGGGGGTCGATCGGTGAGGCAGAACAACACAAACTGTGCCACGACCAGAGACAAACACAGGTAGGCTGTCAGGTGGTAGAAGGGGTCACTCTGGAAGCCCTGCAGGGGAAAGAGCAGAAGTGCTACTGAGTCTGGTAGGCAGAGCCTGCTGGGGAGGGTGTCCGTAAGGGGAGAGAAGGTCCAGGTTGAAAGGGGCTTCCAATGACTGAGCACAGTGCCCAGGGAGGGGGCTGGAGCCACGGGGCTTGAAAGCCAGTGGCATTCCTGTCCATCCTGATTTCCAAACACCTGACTTACCACATTCCATCCATACAAATGGTGGGCCAGGGGTTCACCTTTAGTCAGGTGACAACTGGCCACAGTCACTGGGACACGAGTTAAAAGGACACTTGCCTTTCTCCCTGTACCACAGAGGAAATCCTTTCTCCTTTCTAGCCCTTACCCCAAACTCCCATCCTTCTCCCTCATGGCCCATGTGCTCTGGTTTAGGAAGGGAACTGGTTTTATTGAGCATTTACTCTGCCTTGGGCACATGCAGAAGTCTTTACACACACTGTCTCATCAAGTCCCTCCCCACCCTGACCCCAGATTGTTTACTTGCTCTGTTTTACTCATGGGGAAACCAAGACTCAGAGCAGCAACAACACTTTGCCCAAGGGCACTTTTTTTCCCTTTTTTTTTTTTTTGCTGCCGTGCCATCCACTGCCCCTTCCAGGCAGAGGGCCCTAATGTCTTTCCCCTATGCTCAGGTATGTGATCTATGCCAAACTGACTCCATTCCAGGGGGAGGGCAGGTGATCAAGACCTGACCAACGTGCATGTTTCAGTTCCCTGGCTAGACTGTGTTAGGCATGGACATAGGATGCACGATAGGCCAATAAGCACTGGAACCATTAAGAGATCTACTGGGTTCCCTGCATTGGGGAACAGTTTGGAGCAATTGGTGACTTTTCGCCATCTCATTGTAGAATGAAGCTACCATGGTAGAGTCAAGAGACAGAGAGCAGTAGAAATCTGGTGGTGGCATGTGAATGCCTGAGCCAGCGAGGCTCGGGAGAGACCATGTTTATGTGCTAATAAATTCCCTCAGACTTTTTTCCCCCTTGAGCTAGTGTGAGTTGAGTTTTTGTGGCTTAAAACAAGAGCCTTAGTTTCAAACCACAATTCCTCTTTTAGATTTTTATATGCTTCTGTGTTTTCTTGTTTTGTTTTGAATTTCCCTTTGTAGACAGTAGACAATTTGATATTCCAACTATGTTATTTATGGCCCATCTTCCCCACGCTGTTGTTTTTAACCATCATTTCTGTTGGAAATTTTGCTCTGCATTTGGGTGAGATGAACTTGGGCCCAGCACTCCTGAGCTGTGTGACCTTGAGGAAGTCATTCACTTCTTGTAGCCTTAGATTCCTCATCTTTAAAATGGGACTGTTAGAATTGACCACAGAGCCTTCCTGTGAGAACTCAATGATAACATGACATAAAGTGTTTACTGCAGGGCCTAGCACGTGGTTGGAACATATGTGGTCTCAATATTATTATTTCTATGCTGTGTCCCAAACAGCCAATTGACAGGTCAACTGTGGGATTACACCTTTTCAAAACTTAGTGGATAGCCTGTGAAATTTTCCCATTAGTTACAAGAATTGCTTTGTAAAAATCTGTGCTTAAGGACATATGATGCTTCTCTGCCTTGTTCTTTTAGGAGCAGGATGTAATAACCATTTGGCGCAAGAAATGATGACTCGTAGCCTGCTGCAGTCAGTGTTCCTGATCAGAGGTCTTGGGTGAGTGGACCACCTATGCAAGTGGTTTTCGACTGGGGGTGAATTTGCCCCCAGGGGACATTTAGCAATACCTGTAGACATTTTGGGTTAACATAAGAAGGGGGTGCTACTGGCATCTAGTGGGTGAAGGCCAGGGATTTTGCTAAATATCCTACAAGGCACAGAACAGCTCCTGACTGTCCAGAAGAGAATTATGTCAAGAGTACTGAGGTTGAGAAACCTGGGCCTAGGCTATATATTTTTTTCTCTTTGTGGATAAAATGATCTCTCATGCCTCTTAACATGGAAAAGCTGCTTTGGTAAACAGAAATAGGTGTGTGTGTGAAATGAGTGTGTAAATATGGATGCATGGGAGCAAGGGTGAGAATAAGAGAGAATCAGGGAAAGTATGGGTGCACTTAAAGTAAAAGTGTGCACAAGTGTGTGTTGGAGGTAACTGAGGACATGACCACTGGTTGACCTGGAACCCAAAAGCTGGCCCCAGGCAATGGGAGGCTCCACACACCTTCACCCCACCCCCACCCCCGAAATGTACTTTCCACTCCCTCTTCCTGCTCCAGGAGCCATTCAAGGTGCCTTGAGAGAGTATGGTGGTGTTGAGACCATCTGGATGGTGTACAGGACTGAACCCCATTGAAGCCTCTCTAGAAACTTTTAGGATTCTGGAGGGCAAGGGGGTGCAGCCACCCAAGACAAGCCTTGTCAGCAAGTCCCCTTGCTTATTAAAACTGCCACCTACCACTCTGGAGGGACCTGCCTCTTTCTTGTCTCTCCTTGGTCCCTGGGTATGGACACCAGTTTTGAATTTCACCCAGAGACCTGCCGAGGTTGTGAACCCACAGTGTACCTGTGCCTGAGTTGTGTGGGAGCTTGAAGGCGCAGCCCTAGCTGGGTGGCAGCAGGTGTGAGCGGACATGTGTCAGTGTGTGTGTATATGTGCGCAGCGGTTCAGAGTCTGCACTGTGCGATGCGTGAAAGTGGGCATACAAGTGTGCCTGGTGTGCAAGTGCATGGCATGAGTATGTGAAGACAATGGGGATGTGCGTCCCATGGGGTGGAGGGTACTTCTGTATCAGCGAGTGTTCATGTGTCATTAGAGTTTAAACAACTGTGGCGTGTGTGTCTCTGGGTACAGAATAAGCTATGTGTGGAAAGGGGATGAGGCAGGGTGGTACGCAAAGCCTGAAATGCTATACTGGTGTCCCCAGGTGGCCCAGGCCCCCACTTACCCCTTGCAAGGCCTGCTGGGCAGCACTGGTAGCTGGCTGGAGAAAGCAGAAAAGCCAGTACCCAAACAGCACCCCAGATGCCCGGACTCCCTGCTTCCTCTCGGCGTGGATCAGGAACACAGCAAAGCTCTGGACAAGAGAGTCAGGAGAGGTCCCTTAAGGTGAGGGAGTTGAGGGGATGGAAGGTGGTAGGAGGGGTCACCACTCTGCCCCACACTCCCACCAGGGCAGGAAAAGCAGTATTCAGCAGCAAGACTGGGACATGTGTTACCATTGTGGTGAGCCACACAGTGGGGTGAATGAGGAATTCTGGGGCCTGGGGTGTTCCCTGCTGGATTCTCCAAAGAGCGACAGACACACTGGAGGTGCACAGGATTATGAGGGCAAACCCAAGCACCTGGGGAAACAGGCTTAGATCAGGCTGGTGGGTGAAAAAGAAAGGTGGGGTGACCCGTGTCCAATTGGACAGCAGCTCTGGACGGGGCACTGTAATGTACCAATGTGAAAGACAGGTAAGAAAAAGCAGTAAGGGGCGTTGTAAATTGCTCTGGAGCTGTAACTGTCATATAAATGATGCACTGAGAGGGCCGGAGCCAGCCCAGTGTTTTCCAAGATGCTCCGTTCCTGGAGGTGCTCCAGTAATGCACTGGAGAGATGCATTAGGTATGAAGCAATAGCATGGAATGAAATTTACTCACCTGATGAAAAAGTTATACTGTCTCCAAGTCTCTTTCAATCCCTATTATTACAGCAAGGAGAAATTCTGCTGGGACCTGTGTGTCTCCAGGCTGTCTCTGAAATGCATTCGTTTTTCTTTTGAATAAGACAAAGCAAGGAAGTGAGTGAGTGAGCACGTGCGGGACAGAAGGCCAGCCCTGGGACATTAGAGAAACTACTGAAGGGACCTCACTTAGTCTAAAGCAAGGATCAAACCACACTGCCTGCTTTTGTGTCGCCTGTGAGCTAAGAATAGTTTTGACATTTTTGATCATTGAACAAAACTCAGAGAACATTGTAATTTGTCATGGCATGTGAAAATTATATGAAATGCAAATTTCAATGACTATAGATAAGATTTTGTTGAAACACAGTCCGGCCTATTGGTTTATTGTTATTTGTGGCTGCTTTCCAGCTGCAATGGCAGAACTGAGTTGGAACAGAGACCATCTCAAAGCTTCCCATATGTACTGTTGGGCCCTTCAAAGAAGAGTGTGATGACCCCTTAATAGGTGGTCAGCAATAGGGCAAAAATTTAAAAGGTGGTATGGGAATGAAAGAACCTTGAAAGGTATTTTGTAGAAGTTTGGAGGAGAAAGGGATAGATGAGTAGAAAGGCTCACACTTAGAATGCCAGTGTTTTTCAAGCACACTAAAATAAATAGGTAACAATTTTAGGAACTGTTCCTTAGAACTGCCAATGGGGAAACATAAAAAAATAATCAATGCATTAATTGTTAAAATTTAAAAGGGTCACCCTAACATGGTCCTAAATGACCTAGCATATCCCAGGAGTGTACATTGCACACTTTGAGGAATGCCACGTTATGGTGGCCATACACTGCCATGAGCGTCTAGATGTGTGTGTTTGCAGATGTGTGGATTTTCATTATTAACAAATCTGTCTGGGGGAATCTTGTTCCACTAAGTTCACCTCTATAGCCTCTGGAGTATCGCTCTGTTTGATTAACAGGCTCCCTTCTTATCCCCACCCTGTGTGCTCCTTGCTAAGAGGAATGTTCCCTTTGGGGGTCTCTGCCAGGTTACAGCCTGCTCCCTGCACCCCTGAGCTACTGTCTGGTTACAGGTTCCCAGAGGCAGTGGCTACCATTTTGGCCTTGAAGAGGGGGGACATCCGGAGGTAGCCCTTGCCATGGTGGTGGATGTAGAGGAGGTAGATGGGGCCGATGACCCAGAGGTACAAGGGGGGCACCCAGACCCCTGCTGTTTTCAGGAAGCACAGGCTCAGTAGGTGGGCAGCGGCAGGCATGGGGTCCGTCTGGTTCCACACCTGCGGGAACACCAGGACAATCCTTATGATGGTGCAAAACAGGGGTCCCAAACTCACCTGCTTAGGGGGCTAGGCAACTTTTTAGATGCCTAACATTTACATGAAAACATGCCAAGCACTCTGAAGAGTACCTTATCATTCTCAACTCCTGTAATCTAACATCAACCCTCTAAAGTAGATACAGTTAAACTAATTTTTCAGATAAGGAAGCTGAGGCCTAGAGAGGGTGAGTAACTTGGCTGATACCAGCCAGCTGGAAAGTGATGGTGCCAGGATTCGAACCAAGGTGGTGGGTCCTTGGAGTCTGGGACAACTCTTAATCCTTCTAACAACTCTAGGAGGTGTTACTGTCCTCATTTCACACACTGGAAACTGAGGCACTAAGAAGGGAACAGCCTTCTTCACTCCCACACAAATAGAAAGTGGCAGAGCTGACTCCAGTGAAGGCCTGAGCCTAAAGCTTGTTCTACTGGGGGGTCTTCTGTGCTTTTTAGTTCAGCCTCTCTGCTCGCCTTCTCCAACCCTAGAAGGTGTTTGAATATGAAGTTTAGAGTACTTGGCCTCCTCATTTCTCTCCCATCCCTCTCCCCTCCTCGGTGCTTCCCCACTCACCAGCTATATGAATTTCAGCCTCTCTACGCCTCAGTTTCTTTCCCTAAAGAAGTCGGAATAAGAGATCTACTTCTAAGAGCTGCATTAAATGGGTTAATAAGAGTAAAGTACAGAGCACGGTGCTGGGCACAAAGTAAGCCCTCAACTAACGCCAGTTATTTCTATTGTCTTACCTACCTGGTCCCTGAAATCCCGGGAGTTGGCGCCCCTCACCCCCACCCCGTGAACACTGCCTAGAATCCTTTGCTAAGAGCCTCCTGGATGAGAGAGAGGAAGTCAGAGAGGTGGGGGTCCTGAAGCTTTCGCAAATAGGTGTCAAAGCCCCGCCCCTGGGAGGTCGGGAGGCACCACTAACGGTGCGGGGTACCTGTTTGGTTAAAGGTTCACCCTCCCCTGCGGCTCATCTGGCCAGGAATTTGTGGGTCTCTCCCCACTGCAATATAACGGCGCAAGAGCTGCAGAAGAGATCCACCAAGCCTGGAAAAAGAGATTGGGGCGGGGGCGCGCCGCTCACCCCGGGTCCCTCGCAGGGCTCTCCAGGCGCGGCCATCGGGCGCCGTCCGTCCGTCTGTCCCTAGGTCTGCTGATCGGTCCCTGGGTAGCTTCCTCAGCGGAGCTCTTGGCCGTGGTTAGGGGTGGGGCCCGGCAGGCCTGGCCGAGATTCCAGCTCCGGGATCGCTAAGCCCCGGGCAAGGTCCGGCTCCGCAGTGGGGGTGGGGCGAGAAGGGGTGAACCGGGGAGAGCGGACGAGCGAGCGCTCGGGAGGCCGAAACGAGGGGATCCTCGAATCCCAGAAGTGCAGTGGCATCCCCATATAACGCTCCTGCTTCTGCAGCTAGTGTCATCCCCAGCTTCCCCAACACCAAGGAGACAGTTCCAGGAATTTATCCTGATGAAAGAACCCAACAGGTGTGCACGTGCTAGAAATCCACCAACTTGCGCTGGGGTTACGGGCGGGGCTCTGGGTTAAAGTGGAAGGTTAGAGTCGCCGTCTCCTCATCCGTGGGATGGACATTGCCTCGAGGGCAGCCGTAATATTTTAAGGTTACTAATAGTTTGGCACACTGCCGGGCGCACAGTAAAATGCTCAATAAGAATTAGCTATTATTATCAGCATTAGTATTATTCCAGCCATAGGTTAGTAGTTCAAAGTGCCATTGCAGAAATGTGTTAATATGGAAAGATGGTTGCTAAACGCTAAGTGAACGAAGATTATATTAGAAAGTAGCCTATGATATTAAAAAAAAAGTGTGTGCTTAAGTTGGGGAAAGTGGGGAAGAAAATCAAATCATTTATTTTTCTCTCTTGGGTCTTAAACCAAGGTGTGTCCCCACTAGCTCTGGAAATTCTTCTCGAATTTCTTTTTGGAAATTCCTCTGTGTAACATACTGCATAGATAAAAAGAGGGAAATGCGCTAAAGCAGTGATCACGGGAATCCTAACTTTCTTTTCTTTTTCCTTTTCTTCTGCAATGAGCATGTATTTCCTTTAAAATAGGAATGAAAGACGCCTTTTTCAGACAGACGCAAGCACAGGTATTTCGTTTGGGTGAAGAATTAAAACCCTTTGCATTCTCCACCCTGCATTGTATATTCTCTGGGTCTTGTCCTCATTCTTTTACTCCTGCCTCCTGCAGGGTCTCCACAGTGTGGGTTCCTCTGGCCTTGTCTATCCCTCTCTTTTTGAGTTTCCCCAACCCTGGTCTGGGACCCAGGCAGTATGCCTTCAGCTGTCCTGCCTGGAAGACCAAGAATGCAAAGAACCCAAGGATTTGTCTTGGAGTTGCAGCCTAGCAAGTCTGCTGTTTACGCTTGAATTACATCTGTTCATTGGAGGTGGTTTTGATATAGGCTGATGGAAATTATGGGGAGGCTGGAGTCCCCTCTCCCTGCAAGTCCCTCTCCCCAAGTTGGCATTGACGGAGTCCTAGTTCATGTTAGGAAGGGTAAAGGGCATCTGTGTAAATTGTGGTTATAACAAACAAACCCCAGCAAATGAAATAATGATTTAAGTTGTTTATAGCCAAACAGCTGAGAGTCTCACTGTAGTTGAGTGAGAATGCAGAATAAGAAACTGAAATTAGTTGTACTTCTCGTTGGGCTCCTCAGTGGATGCATCATCCCACTGTAGCCACCGGAAAGGTTTCGACCAAGGTACAGTTTAAACTCAGTGTAATTCATTGCTGCATACTGCTTAAGTCTCAGTCACTAGAAGTGGGAAATATGCTTTCTGACTGTGTCATTTAATGACAACATATAAAACTATCAAAATAAAGACCTCAAATTTTTCATCAACAAAATGAAAGAATTCCAAATATCAGCTCAGAGAAGCAACTTCTGTTTATGTTGGTATAGTGAATTGCAGTTAAATTCAGTCTATATTATAAGTATATTCAATTTTGAGACAAAATACAACATATTGATATTTGAACTTACTTTCGGACAAATCATGCTTCGTCTCAGAGAATTCGAAGTAACTTGCTGGCATTTCTTGCTTCTGGTGGAAACCCTCAAAATTTCTTTCTATACGAATGTTATTAGACCTGGGATGAAAATGAATTTTAAGTACCTTTTAAAATATTATGCTGAACTTAAATGACCTTAAAGAAACCTAATGATCGTTTTTCATGGAAAAAATTCACCAGCTTATACAATTTCCTTGAAGGAGTTTTGAGACTATGCATCACCTATGAAATATATGGGTCAAAAAGATTCGGGAAAGTTGTCGGACATTTCAATTAACAATCGCTAGTCCTTTCCAGTTTCAGCGATACTGAGTTCCAAAGTAGAGTTCAACTTTGGAGTTTGTGCCTGCGGGGACACACTTTATCGCACCTGCCAGACCGTGCGCGCAGTCCTCCAGGCCTCCAGCGGGCACAAATGGGCTCATTCCGTGGCTGAGCATGCGCTGTAGTTGCCTTATTGGTGGCGGGGGCGGTGCGAGGGCGTGGGGCCGTAGCGCGCTTGCGCGGTGGAGGCGGGGCGGGGTCTGGGCTGTCAGCAGCACGCAGAGGAGGAAGCAGCGGGCAGCGTGTAGAGTGAGGGGCGGGACCGGCAGGCCTGCGGAGGGTCCGGCGGCGGAGGCCGGGCCATGCGGACGTGCGGGGGGTTAGGGCTGCCGGGGCCCGCGGTGGTAGTCGCCACCGTAGTGCTGCTCCTGAGCTGCGTGGGGCTGGCGCGCGCCTCTGAAGATATCGTGGTGGGCTGCGGGGGCTTCGTCAAGTCGGATGTGGAGATCAACTACTCGCTCATCGAGGTGAGCGCTCGCCCCGCGGCCCGGGCCGGAGCTCACTGTGTGACCCTGGGCCAGTCGCTGACCCTCTCCGGGCCGCGGTAGCCTCGCCTCTGACACCAGGCGGTTGCCTCCAGCCCCACATTCCAGAAGTCCTTTCCTCTTCACAGGCTGCGCTTTCCGCGGGCTCTCACCATGCTGTCCCCAGCGCCCTAGAGTGGTGGTTCACATCTAGGGTCAGCCACGGAGCGGGGTGGGGGGCTGAAGGTGTGCACAGGAGTGCGAGGAACTCTCTTGGCGACGGTGATGCTGGTTCAGAATGTTTTATCAGATCCCTCATACCTAAGGATCCCTCAAATCAAGACCCCAGATTCTTTGAAATTCAAAACTCCAGATCCCCAGAATCCAGATCTAAGATAATACGGAACCCTGATCACCCCAAGAGTCCAGGCCCCAGATCTCTTAAAACCCAGACCCCTTCGGACCCAGACCCTACATCCCCTGAAACCGATATTCCAGAACCTAGAGACCACACAATCCCGCAACTCAGAGCTCCCCCACTCGTGCCAATTCTAATCCATTCTTGTCTAAAGACTCCCTGGGATAATTTTTAATTAAGAGAATCAGTTCCCATCCCAGAGGGCCTGACCTAGTAGATCTCTATTGGCGTCTCTGGGGGCTGGGAATCTATATTTTTAATTTCCTCTATCCCCAGCTCTTGGGACTCCTTTTCCTCTGAAAATGGTGCGTTGTCAAATGTTCTGACTGCTTTACTGAGTAGTTATTGGAATTACCTAGAGTTTCGTGCAGAAGTTTTTTTTATTGAGTTGGAAAGCCCCATTCAGTTACATGATGACTGGCCCAATGGAGTTATGTCCCAGAAAGCATTTGTGAAGAGAAAGGAAAGATGATGGAGGTAGGGGTAGAAGGCCACTTGTCAGGATAGGTGGCAAAGGACCTGAGGGAGGGCTGGCCTCTGTTTTAGGAGGGTGCTGATGACAGGGCAGGAGAAGGGCATTTGAGAGAGAAAAAAGGAAGAGGCTGGGGTCAAAGACAGGGGACCAGAGACAGGCCCCTAGAGGCTGACTGGAAGCACATTTGAACCCCTCTGGTGCTGGCAGCTGGAGGGCTGCGGCAAAGGTTGAAGTGTGGTCTGTAAAGCTGGCTGCTGAGGTTGGAAGAGGAGTAGGAAGTAGAGTCCACACCTCACTGGCCCTTTGATCTGGCCTTGCTCCAAGTCCCAGTTATATTCCTGCGGGATGGTGTTGGGAGACAAGCAGCAGAACCCAGCACTATGTATTTCCTAAAGGAGATAATTATCACCTTCAAGACCCCTCAGTCTGTGGCTTCTCCACCATTTTTAGATTTAAGAAGTCAGGGGTTTAATGAATCCACCCACTGGCAGTGACAGGGTTCCTAGGATCTGTGGGGTGCCAGTGCCACCTCCTGGATTTCCTCCCAGTGTGTGGCACAGGGCATTTCAGAAGCTGCCTAAAATAACTTTTTGCAGCTTGTAGGTTTCTGGGCTCTGGGAGAGAGTGAAGGCAGTTGGGGCACTCCCATCCTCCATACTAATAGTGACCTTGACAGCAGTGGACAAGCTTTGAGGCCCAGTATGAAGTGTGTTCCTTGAGCCCTAGGGCTACCTGTCCAGATGGTCTGAGACACTCATTCTGTCATAATTTCTGATGATGAAACCAGACATTTCATATGTGTAATGTGTATTGCCATCCTGTGTCCCCATCAGTACTTTACGAAAGACATGTAAATAATCAAGATATTTCACAATCATTTCTTGATTGTGTTTTCTGTGTTCCACTAAAACTACTTTCATTCTTCACCAGCTTTCTACCCTTATGCTTGTTTTTCATCATATTCATTCAGCCAGTATCTATCAAGTGAGACCTGTATGTACTGAAGCTTTGTCCAGAGTAGGGATGTAGCAGTACAGTGCACAGAACTGACAAAAGTCCCTCCAAAAGAAAAAAAATATATTAGTTGCTAATGCTTTAATGATCAAGAGATTTTCCATCAAAATCTGCATTCCTTATTCCCTTAGAAAACCAGCTGGTCTTCGGGCTGCAAAACTTGGCTCTGGTTGAGCAGTGATCTGTCTTGTCTCCCTTTTGATAAATGTCTGTTGACATTAGATCTATGGCCACTCTGGCAGGTGAATTTTCTATCCCTGCTTGAAGCGTGTGCATCTGATTTTCTTTATGGCCTGGAAACAGATGTGTTGAGTATTTATTGAGTACCTGCATTGAACAAGAAGAAACCCTGTCCCAGGCGCTGTGGAGTGTAAGGTGTGATTGCTGCCCACAGGCAGCTTGCCTTCTGTGTGTGATTTCACTCTGTTCCTTTCTTCAGTGTGTATGCAGCCGACTGCTTTATTCATCTTCTTAGCTGGTATGACACGACTGTTATTTCCAAATTGCGGTCACAGAGCATTCACATTTTAGAGGTGAGGCTCTTGAACATCATCAGGTCCAATGCTTCCTTTTATAGGTGTAGAAACAGGCTTGGAGTGGTTGAACCCTACAGGTAGGTTTAGGAAATTTTCCTTGAATCTCATCTCTGCCCTGTTGATGACATCATACTATCTTTTTCTTGAGAGAGAGGTTAGTAATACAATATAGCAGTGTAGCCA